TTATGTGCCTTCTGACGAAGGTTCGTTGAGAAGGTCAATACCACTCTCAAATCTGTCCGTTAAATATAAGGCTATAGCCAGCAGCCAGTCAATAAACACATTATATTTTGTTTGTTAAATCCTAAATGCAAAAAAATGACAGTTCAGTTTTTTATGGAGGTGTTTTAAGTTACTGCTCCCAGCCAAGAAATAGTCTGGAAGACAAACCTCACTAAAACAGCTAATATTCCACTTCGGTTTTTGCACAGATTAAACAAACAGTATTTAACATGTTAGTCTCCACCAGACAGCATGTATTTACCAAAATGTTTAACTACTGCTGTAAGTATTTCTACCAGCAAAACTTCTTAATGCCCCATGTACTGACTCTGCTGTAGGAAAAAACTTGGATGAGGATGACAACACCAAGGCAGAGGCTGCCAAAATGCAGAAGGAGTATGAGAACCTGAAAGACTCAACCAAGGAGGAGCAGCCATCTACTGAGACCAGTCAGTCCATTATCCAGTCCTGATGACCAGAGGAATCATGAATAGCATTTGTGTAGTGATTTGATAATTCGATAAAATAATTTGATACAATTCTATACCATTTTGCCCCTCAAAAATTATAAACTGTGTGCCTTGTAAATTGCATGACTCATTTTTGTTTGTTTGTTTGTTTTTTATGCATTATTATTGTTTTGTGTCTTAAATAAATGCAGAATTCTCAAATATAGCAAATTTCCACCACATCAGTTTAATAAAGCTAAACATCTTCTTTGCTCTATCTCAGTGAAAGGTCAACAAATTTTGTTTGAGTGTAATGGCCGAGACCATTTCAGACCTTCTGTTTTCACGCACTAGAGATGATAGGGAATAAACAACACTGTGCAGTGCAGGCCAGTCATAGCCAGTCCATGCTTGTCCCTGAACTAGGCCAGTCCAATAACACTTACAGGAAAGCTTGTCACAGCTGACATTATTCTCTGTCCTTGTACACTGTACTTTATCCGCTGATCAGTCAGATCCACACAAACACAGGCACGAATAGAAAAGACAAACAAAATGGAATATCGAGAGGGATTACCACCAGGACATTCATTTCAGCAGGAAATTAAGTAAATCCTGAGTAATGTATTACCTGTATGTTAACAGGTTGCACTGAGTTTCATAATATAATATTCATGGAAAGTTAGGGGCATGAATTATATTCCAAATTTTATTTGCAGTCTGGTCTAGTCTAGTCTTCATTTTTGGTTATTGGTTAAATCTCAAACTATAGCTATCATAAACATACTGTAGCTGCCATTTCTTCACATTGAGTGTCTTTTTTGGACCAGAAAAAAATGTGTCTTATTGTGCTGCTAGTTTAACATGAAAGTACAATCCTGGCTGCCAGCATGTTCCCATTGCTGCTGAAATTTGAAAGATGAAAATCATAACTCATAACGCTTTAGGAAAATTGTGGGGTATAAATAATTGATGAGTCAGTGCTATCACTGTCTTACTCTTTGGCGGAAACTAGACTCTTCTGAGCGCTACTGTACTACAGAAGTGAAGGATCTATTATTTTCTACCTCCTAATACATAGAAGAGGTTTTTAATGTCTCCTTTTCATCATTTTCTCTTTTTATTACTAGATCAGCCTGGCAAGTCAGAGACTTATCTGGAGGCCATAAGGAAGAACATTGAGTGGCTGAAGAAACACAGCAAAGAAGAAGGCAAAGAGGGTGAGGTGCATTCCCTTACTAAGAGATAGATGAGAGAAACCAGCTACCAAACCAAAGTCTTGTGTGTCTATCAAATGACCATACACTATCATTTTTTTAACCGGTCTGTCTAAACTGCTCCCCCTTCTCTGATTTTTGAAGAGCCAGAACAAGAAAAACATTCTCCTTTGCAAACCCACTTCTCACTAAACTGTGGTGGGTCACAGAGGTCTGAGGTGACGCACCGAAGAACAGAAAATTTGAAGGCTTTTTTGTTAGCCCCAGTTTGCAATTAAAATGAGTGTGGGATACCAGGATAGATGCTTCTCTCCAGATCTCATGAATATGGATAATTTTTGATGAGTCTGTTCTAATTACTCATGATGCAGCTTTCTTGTTTGAGATAAAGGTCTATTCATTTATTCCCTCCTACCTGTTCCTCTGCATTTATAGCGTCTGGTGCATAATTAGCATTTCTATCACAACAACACAAAAAAGCCTTGAAAAGACTATCACGTCTTTGTTATCAGTCTGCTCATGCAGTGTTTCTGACTGTTTATTTACATCCTTACTGTAACTGTCAGCATTCATAAAGAAGTGACCCAGAAACTGCTCCGGGTCTGCAGAGCTGTGAAAATGGTGGTAGTTTCACACACACCAGTGCACTCGTCTAACAGAAGAAAGCCTGCTGTTGGACTCTCCACAGTGTCAAATCAATGCCCAGTGGTGCTTAATTAAGCAGCAGAGAAAGATATGTTAATGAGTTCTCACTATTCAGGCCATCAGCCCACTGGCAATCATCTCAAACTAAAAACAAGTTCTAGCTCAGTCAGATTTATATATACTGCTGAGGTTCAGTGGCCTAAAATAATCTGGGCCAATCGATAAGTGGTTCAGCCACTAGTGAGTCAGAAAAACAGCTCAAAGACAGAGAAATTGCAGATAAAAACAAAGTTTGAAAGAAGCTGACACTGAGCTTATAGTGCTGCAGAGTCCAGAGCGGAGGGGGCCAAAGCAGCAGGGAAGTTTTGTTTGGTGCTCATCTCCGACCGGGCTCTATATAGGGCACTTCATTAGCATTCTAGTTTGTGGAGTGGTTGTCTGGGACAACAGGGGCCTCCCCGCCTGCCTGTCAGTGATCTGGGCAGAGGACACAGACAGATAATGGTCTCAGAACAGGCAAGCTCAGACTGAACACACACACTGAGCCTACATGTTTAACTGCTCTCTAAATTTCACCTCATTCCTATTCTCTATATTTTTTCTCCCTCTTCGGTAGAGCTACAGCTGCAGCAGAACAAAAGTCTTTTCAAACAAAAAACAGTGTCATAGAAACAGAGTGGTGACGGGCCATTTATTGTGTTTACTCTACCAGAAGCACCCATTAGGACAATCTCAGCGGACGCTCTGTGTGTTTAAATGTGTGCATACGCTCGTGTGTGTGCGTGTGCATACGCCCACACACTACACAGATTAGCCACAGGAGCAGATGGACGTAGAGGCAACATCCTGGTTTTGGCTCTTGGCTCCTCACAGCCAAGATTGAGAGAAGAGGTTACTGTCTCTAATCACATTCTGTTAATCCCTTACACACGTCATGCTTGTCATCAGCAAAGCAACTGTTTCTTGAAGCAATGCAATAAATTGCTGTTGCTACGTAGAAATGTTATTAGGAAGGCGCAGAAGTTGTTGTGCGACTTCTTGGCTGTCCTCTGTCCTTCTGTTCAGCCTTTACTCAGTTGGAGCTGGGAGAAGTGGTGCAGCAGCTGTTTGCCTGCTCTCTAAAACTCATTTGTTACCATGATGGATAACACAGAGTAAGGTTGTGTTCATCTCTAAATATAGCCACATCCTGCTGCAGCCTTATGGTGGTACATGTAATGACAATGAGTTGTCTAGAGCAAGGTGAACACACTTTTTTAAAAGACGTATGAAGTATTTGAGTTAACTGATTTGGTAAACTTGAAACTGATTACACTGAAATTGAATGTTAGAAATCATTTAATTTTGAGCACTGGGAAATTATGTTTCACTCTGTGATCTTTTGGCCTTCTTAGTTCATGCTTGTATGTGGCATCCTCTTAACCCCAAACATGCTGACTCTGACCTTAATCCTCCTTGATAATGAACTACCAAATCAGATTATGGCTTGTTTGGGTGTGCTGTCTTATGAAGACAGTGCTTCAGGAGTTTAATGTCTGATCTATCCTCATAACCTCATGATCTTCCTCTTTGAATCTCAGATTATAAACCCACCATTTGCTGTGTCTGTCTTTCCAGATTATGACCTCTCCAAGCTGAAGGACTTCATGGACCAACAGGTTGACTCCTACATTGAAAAGGGCATCATCGCCAAGGACGAAGGCGACACCATCAAGAGGATCTACAGCAGCCTGTAACGCCGTCATCCATTTCCAACCAACCCCTGGCCTAAAACACAGGACTGAATCTGAAACTTAAAATCTCCAACACAACCCTGACTACTTAGTTTTTTCCCACGGCATGGTACAGTATAAACTGTGTATTCAAAACTACCTGCTTAAGGGGAACTTGTTTACCCTCCCAGACATTCCCAAAATTGATCAAAATAGGTGATTTAATCATTCCAGACCATAACAGTAAAATTGTTCTTTACAGCTACCTAACTGATATTTGCACGCCAAGATAGCAGAGTAATAATCACTAGTATATTATTGAGAGAAATCAAAGTATTTTATGTAACCAACTCACACGTCCAACTAAGTTCTAGCATTTACTCCAACTTGACTCCTGTGGGAAATGAATGTTATAAGAGTATGATGCTGTAGCTTTGTCATCAACTACTGTTTTCAATGCATTTTTGCAAACAAAATCACATATATATCAACTCGTAATCATTCTGTGTAACCTGTCTTAGCCTATTATATTTCTTTTTCCCAGTTTATGTGCAAGATCTTAATGTACTCTTGCTTTTTATTTTACCAAAAATATATTTGTCACGTGTCATGTCAGTCGGCGCCCTCCATACTCGTATGTTCTGTTCTGATGTAATTCTTCTGGGGCCCACTAGGAGGCCGTGTCTGTATCCTCAATTCTCTCTGCATGTCTCTGTGAGTTCAACATTTCCATCTGTGTAGAGACAGAAGATAAGTATTTTTAAATGTAAATATTTGTGATGTTTTCCTAAAGTTTAAAAAGCAATTAAAACATTGCCTTTTCTTTACCTGTGTACTTAACTGTGACAATGAAGGAGAAACAAAACAAACACACCAATAACTGACATCCACACGCTCACAAGAACCTGCATTGTCATGAAAACACTTGACATCTTCAGTCTGATTTAAATACATATTTATTTCTCATATTTCCAAATAAAACCAACAGAATTTTAAAGCACAATTAAAACAGCTGTAACAGACAGTTCTCCACACATAAATAATGCATTCACACCTCAGAAAATAGAGCAGTCCCGTCTGTTCCCAAAGAAAAAAGTTTCTGTGAGGAAAACGGAACGTGTTCAAAGGCTTGAGTCTATCCACCACTTCTGTTTGAGGTGAGCTCATACAGGGGTAAACACTGATGAGGAAGGCCTGAATATACTTTCCAATGATACTATTCTAGGATCGGATTGAGAACATCAGAAGCGGTTAGCAAGTCTAACAAGCTAATCCTTCTGGAATTGCTTAGCTGTATGTATGTGTGTGTGTGTGTGTGTGTGTGTGTGTGTGTGTGTGTGCGCGCGTGTGTGTGTGTGTGTGTGTGTGTGTGTGTGTGTGTGTGTGTGTGTGTGTGTGTGTGTGTGTGTGTGTGTGTGTGTGTACATATGCAGCAGGTGGGTTCTGTACAGCAGCTTCAGAAGCATAAGACGAGTGGATGGGCATGTGTGCTTGGATGCTTTTTACCGCATAACAGATGCTGCTCTGCGCTGCTAAATATCCCAGTAAAACTGTACTAAACAATCACAATCAAAATCGCATATCAATAAATAAAAAGGCAGAGACATGACACTTTTGTTCAACATGGTTTGGTAAAAGCAAAAAGGTAAAGAGAGGGGAGAAAAAAAGCAATGAGGTTGTGATAGTGTTCGTGTGAGCATGTATGTGTCTGCATCTGAGACAGGGCTTCGGGTAAACACAATGCTCCTTTATATGTCCTGGTATGACGTTGTCGGGGCGGTGTAGTCCTCCTCATTGCTCCTGCGAATAAGAAGATAGAACATGTTTAATTTTTTTTCTAGATTTCCACAGTTGAAACACATTTTAATATGACTGCACACACACACACTTTCCTCTCTTTCTATCACTGCTTAACCGCTCACCGCGTGTGAATAATGGATGAGCCTAACCAAACCGCCGTATTGTTCTCCGTCACAGCTGAAGGCTCACCTGGCCAGACAAGTGCCTCAGAGTACAGCACACCAATGTCCTGAGCTCAATCATAAAGTTGAACTTTTAAGTTCACTCTCTTAGAAAAGCTACTTCAGAACTGCAAGCCGTCACAAATTCCTTCATTGAGAAGAATCTGTATTTTATGTCCAAACTATTCACAAGGTCGAGAGAACAGTCCAGCGGGCAAGGATTACAATTAAGAAGGTGAAGAAATATGAAAGGATCAAACTCAGTAGAGGATGAAAAGGAAGGTTTTACACCATATCTTTGCAGGACAAATATAAGGGAGGAAAGAGAAGAATAAAGACTAAAAGAATGTTGCTAAAGAGCTATTGCTTTTTCTTTGAGTAGAAAAATCCTGATGGATGATGACAGGATCAATATTTCAAACTAAGAATAACCCCCCACAAGTGCTAAGTGCTGTTTGGTCTTTTAGAGGCCATTAATGGAAACAGTGAACTGTTACGACATATTCCAAACTTAATCATTTTTATTATCAATCTATTATCGCTGTATCCTCTATTACATTCAATATTTTTTGATCATATATTTACATATTTAACAACTTAACATTTTAAGTTCTTGTTCTACTTTACTATAAACTTTTACGATTGCAATAAATGTAAGTGACAGAAGGGATGTCTTTGGATTAAAAGCAAGCTGCTGGATTTCACAGTTTTGAGTTTGCGGAATAATAATATGTGATCACTTTCAGGCTAAAATCCTTCAAATATAAGTTCATACAGTGAATTTATAGTTACTGATATCAAACTATTATGAACATGAAGGGAATGTATCACTCAACAGTGAACAGTCAACTATTCCCAATAGTTTAGCTTAAGAGGTTTGTGGTTTGTTTCATCTTAGGGAGGAAGCCAAACTGGCATGCAGCCTGTGTTTGCTCTAGGACTGCGTTTAAACAACGGAGTGATGTGGCTGTATTCAGGGACAAAGCTTTAACACATTGCTCAGCTTTGCCTCAGCTGGTAGGTAAACATTTAAAGAGAAAATAAAACTTTGTCTTGCTCATTTACTCAAGGCTCATGCCTTTGTAAAACACAGGTCTAGAGCTACTGGCACATCGTGACAAAATTAATAGGAAATGCTGAACAGTCAGTGGTCATACAACGATGAAATATGTGCTGCCATATTGTCTTGATACACTGGCTGATGGTATTTTATTGGTATTTCAAACAGAGAAGTAGTGACTGTTCATCACATTATGTTAATAAAGATAGCTGCCTTGAGGATTTCTTGTCGCTTAAAGACAACAGGATGTAGGACAACACAATCCTTGTATTATTCTACGGTTGAATTATAGGGATATGATATGAACTCAGTTTCAGTAGATTAATGTGATTAATTAGACCTTCCTTATTCTTTCAGCAGAAATCGGAGATCTTAAAGTTCTATAAGATGGTTTCCGACCATCAGTGATAAAAGAAATCAGATATAAAAAGGGACAGTTGATGCCAGTTCAGCTGCCAAAATGGTTAGGTTATGTTCCCCTGAGGCCCACAGGAAGGAAATTAACATAACAGCTGCTACCGGAGGAGCTGAATCCATTCAAACAAATTATAGTATGAGCAAAACTCTTTTAGAGAGCCTGAAGTGGAAAAACAACTATACTCTACATCTGTAGAGGACACTGCTGCAGTGTCACTCAGTCCTGCCTAAACTGATAGCAGCAAAGCCTGTTTCTCTACCTCACTACTGAGCAGATGTAAGAGCGTTCTCTGTCTCAAAATGTAGTGTCAGGAAGACATGCTCAAGTCTGATTCAGCAGGCCAAATCTTCCTAAATGCCAGACTGTTGCTTAGCGTGGCATCTGACTGGTGCAGCAGAACAGCGAAACCCTGATTCCCATCTTCGATCGTCATTCTCTGAAAACATTTTCACGTCCCTGCATTTGGTCTCTGTTCTTGCTGATTGGGACTTATGACAATCACCTACTGAGCTCAGGGATGAGAGTCTGGGTCAGACTTCCTACAAGCATTTCAAGGCTAAGATGATCTTTAGTCCCTTTGTAAGTCTGTGAGCTGAACTGTGGCCATCTGCTTTTTGGAAAAGGGGCAGTGACCAGCAACAAAACACCCAAGACAAATGCTGAATTTATAGCATACTTACAAATATATCCTGTCTCCAAACCCTTATAGAAACGCTACCAACACAACAAATACACCAAAGTTCAGCAAGCAGAAGAAATGATTCACCATTTATGACCCCCATGTGGCTATTATCCAAACCAAGAAACAGTAGCACAATTTGCTGCTGACAGGTACCCATCATTTGTATGACACAAATGTTAGCTATCACACCCAGAATTAACAATATGTGATTAAATGCCATATTCATTACTATAAGGAAGAACTAGTCCAGGTGACTTACTTTAATTTGGTCAAATCAGAAATCTAATCACTGGCAATGTGTTCACAACCTGGTCTGAAAGAGTGTACACCAAACATTTGCACTCAGAGAAAAGAAGCAGCGGTTAGCTGGGGGTTGTTCAACACCTCACCTTACTTCCTCTTCCTTCAGCCTGCGTGCTGCCTGCTTTGACTGTTTAATTTGCAAGTCCAGTCTATGTAAGAAGTCTTTGGCTGACAGCTCCTCTGTTGGTTGGGGTTTGGAGTCTGCAGGGGGCGGGGAAGGGGAAGGCGAGGGTCCCTCGATATCCTGCGTTATTATACACGGGGTATCTGCCTCCTGGCATGCTGCTTCACCGTCCCCATCAGGAGACTCCAGAGACAGTCCATTAAATATGTAGCGCTTCTCTGACACCACAGGGATGTTGAGGCTGTTCTTCAGAAAAATGCAGTCATTGCTGAACAGCTTATTGGCTCTCTTGACTTGCTCCATCTGGCACATCAGGGTTGACAGAGGAAATGACAGGGTTAAAATAGTATGATTAATTCTATGACTAAATTACCACCTTTCTTGTTTTGCTCCTTTGCAGTTTAGCTTAGACATTAGGACCAAATCACCCCATAACACCTTGTATAAATGTGTGGTGTCACAGATATCCAAATATGGAGCTGTTTTTATTTTGTCCATCTTTGGCCACAAGATCTTAACTTTGAGATTAGGGTTGGAGATCAGGTTTGTCAGCAGCTGTTTTAGCATGCTAAATCCAATGGATAGGGAAACCTATGCACACAAGATCTGATTTAGTAGATACTGGTGCAAAATTTTATAAATGTGCCTTTACTTAAATCAACCATTTAACACACAGTGGGCTTTTGGGGGCTAAAGGCAGTCTGGGGAACTTGGGCCCTGGGGCAGTTGCCACTTTGCCAGGTTGGTAATCCAGCCTCAGCTGGAGAAGTATACATGCAAACTTAATAAATCTTTCAGTTTCAGTCTGTGGTCTGGGCTGCTTTGACTGTTCTGAGCAGGGGCATGACTGGGAATATGAATAGTTTCTGCTTCTGTTCTCCAGCTCCTTTTTGTGTTGCATATACTGTGGGCTCTCAGAGCTGGCATCACCTTTCACCACACTGGTGTTGGCACATGCTGTGAATATTAAAGTAAAATCGAGAAGTAACCCCTTAATCCTACTAGATGAAGTGAAATACAGTAATACTCTTAATGTAATGGGTCACAACTTCCTTCACAACAGCATTTCTAAAAAGCTCTGTCTGCTGCTGCAACACCTCAAAGGCTATAATGTGATATTTCTGTACTAAAGATGACTTTGTCCCGTGGACTGACTTTAAAGGGGACAGATCCTGACAGATTAGTGACTTCATAAGCAAACGTGATGTAGGTACACATTATAGAGAAAATATAAGTGATGTTGTGGGTTGCACCTCTTATCTGTCATTGAGGGGGAGTGCTCAAAAGAATTAACACTGATTTTATATTGCATCAGATCTTCTTATCAAGGTGAACATCAAAGCACAAACTAGCATTGCAGTGGCTGTGTGGCAACCTTACCGTAACACCGTATTTGAGAGCAATCCCTTGCAGGGTATCAGTGTCTGTAACCCGATGCTCAATGTATTTCTCCCCCAGAGAGGCCGTGACGCTAGCTGTGCTTCCGTACGAGCGGATCTTGGTCCGGGCCAGGCTCTGGGACAGTTCGCTCTCTGACTCGGAACCAGACCTGGACCGAGGGAAGATGGGCTGGCCAAGTCTTCCTCCTCCATCCCGCATCGGCAGGACGGGCGAAAACTCCGCCATCTTCTCTTGAATAAATAAAGAGCCCGCTGGCCTCTGTTTGTTTTAACGCGCCGGTTGACCAGCTGCAGCAAAGAAAATCGCTGATTTAGGCGGCTGGGAGATTCCCATGTCCGGTCATGTTCAGCATGTCAACCCAGGGGATAAGAGACATGTTTCGGGGACCACTACCTCACCGCTCGCTTTGTCATAGATACGTTATGTTGACGTAAAAACGTACAGGACGCCTTGACGTCCAGGAGGAACAACAGTAATACAATTTCCGGTGACACTTTCAAAGTAATTGAAGATATTGATATGATAGTGACTAACATTGGTTGAAACTTTTTTAATGACACTGAAGTGCAAGTAATTGGAATTTGCTAGAGTAAACTAAAAATGTAATCTTACTTCAACTGAAACACCAACATATTTTCTAGAACTAAAATCTATGAATCAACCATTCCCGAGAAGCTAGACATTCATGAGATATGATAAAGTGCAGTATGGAAAGACAGATGCTGTTGTAGGCCTAGTCACCTGTTTGTAGTGACACATTTAATTAGTATTTTTGGCCATTTAATTAATTGCAGATGTGTTTATTAATACTGTATGCACAACTAAATCACAATATAAAAAAATTCGTCGCAAACTTAAAGGGGACAGTGCTTTTGCGTTGGCAGCCATGAAACTGTGGAATGCCCTTTCTCTTATCATTAGGTAAGACTAAAACAACTAAACCATTAGGCTTCCTGTCTGATTTTAAAACTTGTCTTAAAACCCATCTCTTCAATCTGGCTTTTGACCCTTGAGGATGACACTTGGAGGAACTCATTTGTTAGTGTTTTTAACTGTATACATTATATGTATGTGATAACCTGTAAATTGATGTTTGCTTTTAATCTTTGTACAGCACTTTGTGCAACTTCGGGATTGCTGTTAAAGTGCTCTATAAATAAATTTTCATTGATTGATTGACTGATTGAATATACAATAAAAAGGGACCTTAAGGTAACATCTATTACCTAATCTTGAGGCCATATCTTGTACAGGAGCCCAGAGTTAAGTTTTAAGGGCTTTGTTGTTTCAGTATATGTGCTTAGGCTAAATGTTGTATTTTAGTAATTTAAATGCGTGTAATAAATTAGCACAAATTATTGATCATTAACAAATACAAAGCTGGTCCAGGAGTTTGGACTCAATAGTAGTGCTGGTTATCCCTTTTGCCATATTGACCTTGTAAATGAGCAGTAAAATAATCTCTCCATATATAGCTACAATGAAAGTTCCTTAGATCCTACACTGAGCTTATCATTAGATAACTCATTTTTCTTTTCGGACACATATATGAAGGGGGACTGCACAGATTCTTTCACATTGGGTGGAAACATTCAGCAGGTCTTTGTGACCACTAACCACTACATGTGGCATCTGAAGCCGGTGCTGTTAAATGCAGGATCATTTTGGATGGCGCCTGTGAGAGGAAGCTGGTTAACAGTCTCATGATCAACCGTTCATAAAAATAACAACGTTATCACCGCATGGAAAAAGCTATAAACATGGGATTTTCCTGAGCTGGGATTTCAATCTCATAAAGTCAAGTGAGGACCTTACTGTTTATACAGTAATTTTTCCATATTCACTGGAATCATATTGACATCAGTCACGCAAACAAAACATTTACCCTTTATTTTTAGAATTGAAAGGAAGAATGTAAATTAAGTGATGTAGTAAAAAAGATGGAGAAAATCAAGCAGAAAATTATTTCAATCTTCTTACACTCCATCGACAGTGTATTGAATAAGGGCTTTGCTGTATGTTTTTTCCATTCAAGCCTTTACACTTTGCACTTGTGGCTAATTTTGATTTGACTTATTTGGTTACGCCAATAATTACATTGTGATTGTCAGGTTTTCAGTAAATTGGTGTTTCCATTGTATTACACTGACAAGAGTAAATTACTTTTCCTGCAGCAATAAATTATTATTTATTAAATTATCTAATCTTTCTTGTTCTCTATAGGGTGGGATGAAAACCTGAGAATTATTGTCAGATATCAACCTGCAGCCTGCGACAGGTCAGTTAATCATTGTACAGCGGCAAATGAAAGATGAACAACAAGATAAATCCCAGTTAAATCTCAAGTTACACGATAGCCAATATGTGTACTCGGGCAGGACTCTCATTATGTATTCATTACTGGATGGTAGCTGGTGGAAATTTTCACTGCCTCCTGTTGTTGTCGTCTGTGCACTCTGTGGAAGGCATGATTATTCAGAAGCCAGAATGGTGCTGAATTCCCTGAGGTTGTTTTCTCCTGTTTGAATCACTGTGTTAGGAAGTTAGAAACATGTGCTTACTTACTCATAGAAACACAGTGCTTGCAGGGGAAAGCAAGGATGGTACAAATATTATTAACACACTCATTTTAATGTAGTGTTGGTGAAATTTAGTAATGTGGGGAACACAAAGACTGCAGGTGCTACTTTGGGATGCACAGGATGTATCTCATGTACCATGAAATATAACTTGCTGAGGAACAAACACTGGGATGCAACAAGAGGATTCATGATCCCTGAATGATTAATTTATTCAATTAGTCTCTCTTGGTTATAGATTATGCTGTGGTAATCTCACTGTCTGGCATTTTCTAATGGAAATCAGGTCATTAAACTTATGAGTACAAAGAGAGACCAGGAGGAGGGAGCTTAATTCATTAATTATACACGATGTTCTCAATGTAAGATGACACTTTTTAGATTGAATTGTGAATCAGTTCATTATTTATATTGTATTTGCTCCACATCTTTGGTCTTGACTTATCCAACACACATGGGTATAGGTAGGTATAGGTTAAGAGGAGGAGAAGCAACAATCAATGCTTTTTTAAGGTAAAGAGATCACAAGTCTAAAACGATCCAATTTGCCCCCGAAAAAGTTAACTGTTTTTTAAAATCTATATCTATATTGAGCTCTAGTCAGGAGTCAAACCAACAACAGGAGACTTCAATGGCAGACTTAACTACAGTAGGAATCAGATTACTTCATTAACATCGCCCCACCCTCTCCTTCTCTTATAGGCAAAAACAAACAATGAGGGAGGAGGCGCAACCACACTGTAAGTCATCTGTCACAACGTTACTAAGACAACAATCATATGAGCCACCTCCTGATCCAACTGCACCCACAGGTCTTGGCAGAGAAGATATTGCAATCAGTGCAATATCACTCTTGCAATCAGTTTATCACGAAGGTGGCTACATCTGATTTAGCCTGTAGGGCTTCAAGGTTTATTGTGTTGTGAGGACCGAGGTTCATTTCAGTCTATAACTGTTAAAGAAAAATAGACCATGTTGAAGTTAAAAAAAGATATTGACATTATGTGCTCCTTGTGATGTGATGTTCATGTAGAAACAATAGCCCATTTATTGTGGCATTGTACTTATACCAAGAAACTGTGGAAAGATGTATGTAGATTTGTGATTGATAATATTTACAGTGATTTTGAACTACTGTTTTTGGTTTTGTGAATGTTGAATGTAAGCTTGAAGACAATTACCTTTGATTAACCTGATAATAATTTTTGCTAAATATTGTATCCACAAATGTAAATTTACTAATGCCAAACCAATATTTACCTTACTCAAGAAAGAAATTAATCTATATATAGGAATGATAAACTCATTCCAAAACAAGAAAGCTATCAAAACGGTGAATTTATTTACTTTACACAATATATTTGTAGATTTATAACCCCCGCTCCTTTCATTTTGTTTTGGTCTTTTTTTATTATTATTTATATCTTTTTATGTATTCATAATATTTTCCTTGATGTGTTTTTATTCCCCTGGCAAGTTCTCTGCTCTGTACTCATACTGTTTGTTTTTGAACTGGAAAAAAAATAAAAATAAAAATAAATAATAATAATTAAGCGATTCACATGGGAGCATTTATGCTCCAATTATACACAGATAATTTAAAAGTTCGCTGTTGTTTTATCATGAAGTTTTATACTGTTGTTTTTGGCTTACAAAAAATGAAATGTATTCATCTACATGAGATTAATGTTAGGATAATGAGGTTGGATAGAGGTATCGATCTATTATCAATGTCGAAACATGATCAACGTGCAAATATGGATCATTTAGTTATTTTCTGACCCCTATTGGACATTTTATAATATTGCACTTGGTCCCTAATATTTTCAACCACTAGATGGTGCCATTTAATCACTCATTTGAACGTGCTTGTCATGTATGAGTCTACTACTCAGATATGTATGTTATAATATTTCTGAAGTTAAGAAAATCCACACACTTCAGAAGAATCTGAGCGTCTTTGTTGAAGGGAACTGTTTGATTTGCTTATATACAGACTAATCATAGTATAGAACTTCTTAATCTGGACACTGAGCAACAAAATGCTACAGCGATCCACTCCTTCAAGGAAAGTTGGTTCAGATGTCCACGCAGTTCTTTAAATTGTAAAATTCTTATTTTCACACCCACAGAGAGGATTTCAAGAGCCAGCTATTGTTTTATAGTTCTGCTAATAATTATTTTCCCACTCTGAACAGGGATTTCACTGGTGTTTTCACTTGGCTGAATATGTTTGACATTTTGAGACTGAGACAACTTGCTATTTTTAACAAAAAAGGAAGGAAAATAAATACAACAGCATTACTTTGGATGCCTTGTGATCGAGATGGCTGTTATTCCTGATGAAGCCTTTTTATATACATTCATGGTTGAAGCTTTTGTTTACTATAGGATGCAGTTTTTATTCATTAGGACTACCCATGGCGTATCATACATCTTCCCTGAATTCAAATTTGAAAGAAGTAATATTTCCACCATCACTTTTTATGCACTGAACAAAAGTAAAGTCTGATCAGCATCTTGACATGCCACACCTGTGAGGTGGAGGGATTATCTTGGCAAAGGAGAACTAACACAAATGATTTGATTTGAAAGATTTGTGAACAATATTTGAGAGAAATAGACACAGAAAGTCTTTGACTTTAGCTCATGATGAATGAGGGCAAAAACTAAAGTTTATAATTTTGATCAGTGTATACAGTGACCTGTCTGCTATTGCTAATAGTTAGATGAAGTACACTTAGCCAAACAGTTTGCATGTCTGCAATGAGACACACTCACAGATGTCGCTTACTTCTCAAGTTTCACTGCTTTCATTTAGGACAATTACATAGCCCAGTCAGGTATGAGGTCTAGTTTGGGAGACACCATCCTTTGCTCTCTTGGTACTGATAACATGTCAGCTCTAATAATGAGGAGTTTCAGCAATGCCCAAAAGTGTATGTATTGAGATGATTTCTATTTATTTCTTACCTAAAACATGGGTGTAAGTTCAGCTTGGCACTGGCTTTCCACTAAAATAAACATATTACCTGTGGTGTAGTACTTGATTCAGAGGGACTGATTGACTCACTCCTTTTACCTGTTTGTGAATACAGTGCGAGTGCCCTTCCCATTCTCTCCTCTCTTGTAATCTGTGAGCCTTTGTTTACCAAGCGCATGAGGTCATGCAAGAGAGGGACTGCTGTGAGTTTTGTTCAGGGCTGGCAGGGCTAACTACAGCACTCATTCTGATGGAAAAACAACTGTAGGACAGCACATGAACATACCTGCCAATGAGGAAAAAAAGCTCCTGTGTGAAAGCTGGTGGAGAGAGTGAAGAAGGGGAGGAGCAGAGGTTTGGGGATTAAAAACACTGATACATATGACTTAAAGTGTTCTCAGATAAATATGTCAGCACAAACATTTTTCGAGAGGATGAGGAGACAGACACCTGTACAACATCTGCTCCCTTTTTGCATCACATTCATGTGGACACAAGTCGACTCTGGTGTTGGGGCAACATACTAAACCAACCTTGACTAACAGCTACAACATGTCTCCATTTTGTAATAACCTCTGGTAATGTATAGTCAGCATGCAAGCTATGTTTAATATGACCCATGAATATGTCCTTTATAGGCACTGTCTTTATAGACTCCCTCTTTTACTTAAAACGACACATAACATCCTATTTATGACAGTGCTTTCTGAGCATCAACCTCAAATAACGACATGTACTAGAAACTGTTAGTTAAAGTCTTTTTTTTCCACATGCGGAGGAGCAGTGCTTATTAATAGTCATGATCTGAGGGAATAGTTGTTCTGTACTTACATAAGCACACAGATGTGTATTTTACTTTCAGATTCTGATTCTAGGATTGGATTTTTTCTTTGAAATTATGCCTCCTGGTGTGATTAACAGACATGATATAAACCTGCTGTTCACATTCTCTCTATTCTCACAGAGTGGAAACACTTGAGTCATTCACACACACACAACGCCCCTCCTTCCCCCGGCCACAGTTCACTGCCAGCAGTGCAGAGTTTTCTCTGACAGCAGCTCACCGCAGTACTCTGGCACAGGAAACCCAGAGAGGGATGTAGTCATATACATTACATCATCTCTCAGGCATGTGCAAACAATCTGAAAAACTGGATCTGATTAAAGGGTCCGTATGTATACACCACCTAGAGTAGGATACCTCTCAAACCAAAAGGCCTGTCTATCAGTCATTAAAAATAGATTTTGAATTTGAGATTTTGACCACAGCCACTTTTAAATTCCCCTCAGTAGTTAAACACAGAGTCAGGCCGTTAGTTGTTCGACCGCTCTCGTACAGACTGAAATATCTCAATGTCTGTTACAAACATTCATGGTCCATAGAGGATGATGATCCTTTTGACTTTGGATAACCCACTGACATTTTCCTTGGAGCCACTGCCAGGTTGACATTTTAGGTTTTTAAATGACATGCCTTGATTGCCATTTTTTTTGTTACATTCATGGTCGCCAGAGGAAGTACCTTGGTGATCTTCTGATTTGACATTCCCAATTTCCCATCAACCTCAGCTGTACTATGTTTAGTGCTAATTACAACACTAACAGCATATTTGCCATTGTTAGTATGCTGATGTTAGCATTAAGCCCAGAGCAATGAGGAGCTAGCATGACTACTTGTTTTAAATTCTCTTACCCTGTTGGATCCTCTGGGGTCATGCATTTTTGCTATGCAAACAAGAACTGCTTAAATCTACATTTAATATAAATTCTAGATAAGATGCTTTAAAAGACACAAAGAGACAGATTTACTAAGGCTTTTGGTGCGTCTCTCTCCTCATATGCAATTAAGGGAGGAAATAATAAGAGACATGCTATCAGTGTTGATTATGTATTCTGTGGGAAATTCTCCATCTCTGACAAGGAGACATAAACAAAAGCCAAAAGTGCATCTGGAGGTTCAGCACCAGGAGATTTTAGTAAATCAGAAGCTGAATGAACACATTGCAGCCACAAACTCAATGAAAACCACAACGCACATTTGCCCAGAGACATTTTCTTAGTAAATCTGGCCCAAAATCTCATGCAGAATTATGAACGTACACAGGACGCTTACAATATAGTTGAGCTTGAAGTTTCATGATTGACCTTGGAAAAAGTAGTTTGACTAAACATCTTAGCCCAAGGTCCACTTACAGTTCTGTGGAGCTTCCAGCCACATTTGGTGGCCTTTATCAGCAGGTGGAGTTTGCTCCCTTGCCAACAACAAAGCATCTCAACGACAACAGAGGAGAGGAAACTGGGTCAATATTAAATGCTGTATTAGTACAATTTAATGATTAATAAAAACATTAAAAAGACAAAGAATGCATAGACAGTATGTAAAAACATTTATTGTTGAGGATGTTTTATATTCAGCAGTGCATTTTACCAGTCTTGTGGTTTTATAATAACATATATTCCTGATGTTGAGTATACACGTGGGATTGATTTAAGGTACAAAAAAATCTCAGCAAGGAGTTGTGTACATTTGTGTGGTAAACACATAAAAGTGTGTGTGTGCACTTTGAATTTGAGATGCAATTTTACAATATACATAATATGAATCACAGAATATTCTCAACAAGCCCAAGCAGAGAAGCAGTTTTCCACTGACTGTCCACCAGCAAAGCACAGCGATGTAAAAACAAAAAGATTCAGAATAAAATACTAGCTGATATGATCATGGAAGAAGTACACGGATATAAAGCCCAAAGTACTGAACTTAGCCATACAGCTCTTGTCCAAGGAATGTGAGGATGTTAAGATGAAAGAGCATTTTTGGTCGAGAGAAACATGATGATCACAACTGATGACTTCATGCCAATATATTGTTCCTATAACACAAACAGTATATACACAAGTTTCAAGTAACTCCTGATTTAGTTCTGTTAGACCCATCTCAAGCAGGTTAGTGTACCTACGGAAGTTCAGTTGGAGGCACACATAGCATGTTGTCATCTATTACATAATGAATGACCTGCTACTGCTGAGAGCCAAGTGAAAGTGTTTGTATGAGGGACTGGGAAAAGTAAAATTTACGATCTGTACAAGACTTTCTATCTGGGAGATATAATTCATAGAAACATTTCACAAGTAGTTGCAACCTGAGAAGTTTCACACAGACTGTTCGCCAACTATTCTTCACCTGTCACTGAACAGAACACTTAGCTTTAAATGACAGAAATTGGGGGGGAAATGTAATGGCATGGTGTGATCTAAAAAACAAAACAAAGTCCATATCATTGTTAACCCAGACTCCTTTCCCAGACCTGTACCGTAAGGAAGTGACTGTAGCTGACAAAGCCAAAACCTGAACCAATGACTATTGAGTTCAATATTGATACTTTAAGCACTGCATGTGTTAGTCTTTGGCATGGTTAAGCATCAGAGAAAGCCAGTGTGTTCAGCAGACATTTGCAGCATCATTTGTAAGAGAAGATTTCAGCCTTTTCAGTCTGGACTGGGGTTAATAACCTGTTCCTTTTACAGTAAAATCCCATTTTTACTTGTTTCAAAATATCAAAAACTAATTACAATTTCCTCAACCGTCTCTGATACAATGTCAGAATAACCAACATCAGAATTTGAACCATATGAAAACAAGATTTTTTTTTGTTAGAATAAAACAGTAAAGTAATATAAAACATGCACTGATACTTAACAGAAGGGGTGAGCCAGCATCTGTTCTCAGACTGACTACAGCATGAGGCCAGCACAAACGTAACCGTTCCACATCAGCCAGACAGTCAAGTTGGCTTTACAAGGCAATAACAAACACCTGCAAACCACCATGCAGATGGAAAGTACAACAGTGATCTGATCAGCATCATCAGAACCTAGAGTCCGCTTGTTACTACATGACTTACGTTATCTTATGATAAGATGTGTTATCTACAGCTGTACAGTCAGACAAGGTTTGCAGGGTACTAGTCATGGCCAGGCTTTAACCATTCTGTATGCTATCCCCATTGTTCTAATAACGAAGTCTGCTGATTCAATACAGAATTTCACTGGAAGCTTAGGCCCAATAGCAAACTATCATGGTTGAGGATACAGGGCGTTCTTAATGTGAGTTAATGTTTTTACAAAGCTGTTATTGTTGTTTCTGTTAGTTGGTAGTTCCACGTTTATTTCACATGATTATAGCATTGTATAAAAGGAAAAATGCAAGTAAAAAGTCTAAACAGATCATATAAAGGCTCAAAAAAAAAAAGGAGCAACTGAAATGAAATTACTAAAACTAAACAGATTTACATCTTCAACATAATAATAAACAAATATGTATACACATGTGTATGGGAGAGGGCAATTCCAGTTATTTCCCTTCTTCTCGGATGTATGTTCTGGTTAAGCACGCCTTGCCCCACAGTTTGGCACAAGACTAAAGTTTCCACACAGTGAGATGAGACCAGGTCATTGGCTGAAATTATTCCACAAGGTGAGATGAAACAACAGGATTGGCTGGGAGAGGGGTCAGGCTCCGTCCCTACAGGTCCCCTTCCACTCGCTTCTTGCGGACTAGAGAGGAAAAGTACAATGAAAAAGAGGCAAAAGCATTAATTTTTTCCCCAAATCAATTGATTTGACAGAATTAAGAATATAAGACTGAACTGCAAACATGCTACACAACCTTCAACCTAAACAGGTCTGTTAGTTTATCATGTAAACACTAAGTGAGTCATCAAGAGCTACGCGTTTACACAATTCAACAGCGTGTGTCAGCATGTACAGATAACAAGAAGTGAGAGGTCATCACTCTCAAAGCTGCATCACACCGTGTCAGTTTCCATACTGTTAATGCAGTGAATGCGTCATTCAAACACTTCGATGCACTGACACAAGTATAGCCACACCCATGCATCACACCTGTGCTACCGTGACTCTGACAGGATGCGGGGCTAAAAGAGAGGAGAGGTCACTGTTGACGGACGTCTTATGAGGAAAAAACACATTTGTAAATGCAAATGAACTGCTGAGATCTTGGAATTGTCATGACCCACTCTCCCAAAGAGAGATACCAGGTGGAAGGTAATGTGGTGGGCGACAATTCACCCTGCTTTTGCAATCTCAAACTGTTGTGTGTGTTTGTGTGTGTGTGTGTGTGTGTTATACCCAGGTCATTGTTCTTGGTGATAGCTGCAGCAGCTCTGGAGCGAGGTCCTTGCTGGTTGAAGTGGTAGCCAAACTTCACTATGCTGTTGTTCTCTTCCAACATCTTAGCTATCTCCATCTCTACGGTGGTACCAAGCTGCTGCCTCTGAAGCACACACACAAATATTACAGTCAGAACCTCATTTTGGTTTATAGCAGAAAAGAATATAAGACCCAGACCATAGTGATAGGGTTTAACTTAATTAACTTTTCCACTACTGAAAACTCTCAACAGGTATTTTGTTTTATTCAGCCAGTGGTTTGTGTCAGTTGGCATCTTCTTCAGCTGCACAGAACATTCGACTACTTCAGGCTGTGTGAAACCACTTTATATAAAAGAGTGCAAAGACTACCTCAGTCATAAGTTCCCTGTAATCACCTACAGTGACACGGAATGATTACAACTATAAATAACATAACAAGTTAGCAAAGAGAAATTCAAAAAAGAAAATACTTTTTACCATCCTAATCTTAATTTCACAGGAATTCTTAAAGATTTTTAAAAACTAAAAAGCCTCTGATAATTTCAGATCCTGGTGTGCTGGTGCATGTGTAGACATGTGTCACAAAGCATCTGGTACCTGGTTGTCTATCTTGATCTCTGTGAGTGTGTCATTGTCTCGCAATGCATCGACCAAAGCCTGCACCCCTGTCCCGGTGATAAAGTTGGTCTCCAAGTTCAAACTTCGCAATGTCTTGTTCACCCGCAACATGTCACTGAACGCCTGGGAGGAGAAAGAGGAAGCGAGGAAATAAAGCAAAGGCGTGAATATGGAGTTGTCGGGTGTGAACAAAGCTATTAAAAGCCCACAATCCGCTCACCACAGCAATTGGGTCGTTACTCCGTGTTGCTGCCAGGCTGAACTTCTTGACGTGCGTGTTTTCTCCATGGCTTTGGCCAACTCCTTCAGCGTGGGAATTGGAATGTTCTGAAAAACCAACAAAAGACACACTGCCATTGGTACAGGGATATACACAGTACACACTACACTCTCCACACACACACTTGTGTTTCTGTGTACCTTAATGTTGTTGAGGTTGACCTCTGTTAAGGAGCTGTCATTGTTTTTTATCCTCTGCAGAGTTTCTTCTACATTAGTGGGATTGGGAGGCTCATCAAACACTGGATTCATCTTCTCCCCTTTGATCACATCTAGAAAAGACACAGACAGAGGTCAAGATATTGACCCTTTTGGGACCTTTGAATTAACAGATACAGTTCTTTGATTGTACTTACTGTTGTAACCCTCTTTACTTCCAGTCCCATCATATGTCTGAGTACTTGTGACCAGTGTATGAACACCCAAGATCGCTGCAAACAAAAGCATACCATAGACTCAGTAGCTGTGGTGAGGAATCAGTGTGCATGCAAGTGTTCTACAGGTAACTGTAACCAAATCTAGAGATCATTGCAGACAAGTGGTATTATTTTGCTCAGTAAGCCCTTTTATTCCCCCATCATCGCACACAAAAAAGGGTGGTGCCTTGGGAAAGATAGTCAGAGTAAAAGGAGCTTGTGTTTTACTGTCGCAGCAGAGACTGGGCTCAGGCAAACTGAACGTTTCTCACAACTACAACATTGTGTGTACCGCTTCCTTTTCAAAGAAACCCTCATACAGACTGATGTTTTTAAAGCCTTTTAACAATGACTTCTTAGTTTTCTCAAAAGGCATCTATTCATTCTCACCTGCGAGATCGCACAGTTCTGTATCTGTGGCGCTGGACAGGGCTTCCTCTAATTCTGGATCGAGGGTTGTGACTTCCTCCTTGCGTGTTTCCATTGGTTTCTGCTTAGGAACAAATGCTTTACCTATATGGAGAAAGAGGGAAAGGGCGATTTAATTCAAATTCTAAACTCAGTAGGAGGTGATTCAGCCCTCATAAAAATAGGGCAGACAATAAATTACTTTAACATCAACACAGACAGAAGACACAGGTACATGCAGGCCGGTTGAAGGTTTTATGAGATGTTACACAACCTTCAATTTCTATAATCTCAGTGTTTCCCACAGAGACTTTAACGGTGACCCATTTTATAATTTTTCAGAGAAACACAGAGAGAGATGTTATCTGGTATTATGTTACAAGACATACAAGATGTCATTCGGTACCATGTTGGTTTTACGGTTGGGTCGACATCATCACGTTAAGCAGGTTTTAATCACCACGGACATTATCATTAGAAATTTTAAATTCATGAGCAGTACGTTTTATAAAGTCGCCTAAAAGACACAGAACTAGTCTTTTTTCCGTATTTTTACACCTGCGATCTGTTATCACGGCAGCAGGTGAACCTCTTGTGGGCTAGTTAATGACGCAGCCTATCAAACAACCGAAACCAACATCTGCACCCTATGTGTTCAATGCTGCTTTAACATTACCTGGTCTGTGCTTGTAAAATATCCACCACGACTTGTGAAGTCATAGGCTACCAAGTTTTTAACTGAGTGAAATCTGTGCGAGTGAAACCGATGTCATCGTCCATCCCGGTGTTTCAATGTAGACATTGTCCGATAGAAATTTTGTAGACATTGCCCAACCCTAGTTGGTTTCGACCGTTTCGATAGGCTACGTCATAAATAAGCCTATCCCGCACGTGCTATGCTGCTGCTGTAAAAACAGAAGTGCAGGTGGGAAAATCCAAAACACGACTTCTGTGTCTTTTCGGCAACTCTATGAAACATACTGCTGATGGAGAAAGTCAGCAGAGCAGGCACATACATGGAGAGAGAAACAGAAAGAGGCGGGACATGCCGCTGTATTTCAGTAAGAGACCAGAGCTAGACATGTAGGTGTGTGCGTGTGTGGGGAAAAGAAAAGTGAGAGGAAATGCAAGGTGAGTAAATTCAAGTAGTGAGTAAACAAAAAAAACACTAAGATAAGGAGGAGAATGAAGTTGAAGTAAAATGGTGAAATAACAAATAACCTACTATAAACAGAAAAATACCGTTTTATGTTTTACTGCAATGCACAGGGATTTAGCACAGATCAATTTGTGGCCCTTTCACTTCATTTGACATTTACTGTATTGTTTCTGTTACAAAATCCAAATTATACCCACTGTTATTAAATGTTAAAAATATAAAAACAATTGAAATTCTTGTTTAGAACACTTACAATAATTGTAATATTTCTGAAAAGGAGCTGAAGTCTGAACAACAGAAATGTGCTGTTGGAATAAGTTTGGGTCTCCTGCTATTTTACAAAACATTTCCCAACCATCAGTGGTTCAGACAAGCTGAACTCAATCCGGCCATGACTGTCTGACAACCGTGATATTACCATGGTAACCTATCTGAGGGACGAAATGGAAAGAGTGCAGGAAGTCATGGAACAATGACTGGCTTCTAATCTAAACTGCACTGCTGGAGCAACAAACACTTGCACTGGACAGAGAGACCATCCAGTCGGTGCCATTCGTTGCCTTTCTATGTGCCTGTCTCCTTAAACAAAAACACCACAAGAACAGACCCTCCCCTCTTTCCCTACATCGAAGTCAGTCAAGCCAGCCAAATTGTTAAAACTGGTCCCTCATGGGGGCTCTGGCACTTCCTGAAAGCCAGTAAACAGTAAATACAGTCATCAGGCAGCATCCTGTGCCAGCGCCTCTGGAGCAACATTTAGCCCCCCCCCGAGGCAAAAAGAAGACGGGGCCAAAATCCTGTCATCTGTATGATCCCACAGGAGCATATATCATGGAATAAATGAGCAAAACACATTGGGGTACAACATTATACAAATGCTGAGGGGAAAACAGGAACATCAATAATGTTGGTGTCTGCCTGTAACAGTGGTATCAGGCATGTCTGGAGTATCAGACAGATGCAGGAAATGCTTGGTTTGAAGAGCTTTGACTTGACACTCAGGATCCCAGCAGATTCCATTGCAATTTCTTACCCATCAATGCAACAGACTTTGTCATTCGTGCAATCAATGCCTTAAGCATATTTTAATTTGAGAAGTCATCCCATTCACTCATGATGCACCATCCTTATGTTGTGCATGCTGATCACAGTACTGTAAAGTTTGATTTTTAAACACAAGATAACAGTACATAACTTAAAGCAGTTTTGGAAATCATTTCCATGACTTATGATAACACTTTACTCAACAAAGTAATTACTCAGGTCTGGGAAAGCAGAGACATCACTATAACAAAGTCAGATGAGGCAAGAAATATGAGCGTCCACAATATTAGATAGGTTCCAAGCAGTTTAGCCAGATTACCTAAACAAAGGTAACCGCAATGATGGTAATAACCCCTCATTGCACAGGAAAACTGTTTACCTACAACTACAGTAAGTGGGATAGTCAGTTGAACCCAGATATTGTTTTTTAAATTATTATTGATGTTTACAATAAAGTGTTGGCTTTCATTGACTCTAAGCTGTGGGTTTGTTCACCCAATACATGTTTTTATATCATCCCACCTGGACTACTGTGACTCTCATTTTACCTCCCACAATTGCAATTTATCTAGAACTCAGCAGCCAGAATACTAAACAAATCTAAGAGGTCCTGTTATATCACAAAACCAATTTTAGCTTCACTGCAGTGGTTGCCCATTACGTTTAGAATACATTTTAATATTTTATTAATTACCTACAAGGCCATCCATGGCCAAACCAACCAAAATAACTGAACTATTATTAAATTTTCAGTAGTACATTTGCAGTAACTGATTTATTGCCTTTGCAGTACCAGTTCACTGTTACACATGGCTGCTTAATGTTTCAACTCTAAAAGAATTCACAAGAAAAACTGAACATTGGAGGCAAGCATTACAGAGCTACGTTTGTGTGTTTCCATTGGCGCAACAGCCTCCACTATAACCTTAACAAACATTAACAACAAATGTTTATCAGACCCTTGCCTTGAATGCTCCAATTAGCATAACAATAATTGCTAAGGCAACCGGCAGCAGCCAGTAGCTCCTTCAAACTTTGCTAAACTTTTTTCATCGCTTCAACATTTTTCATCTATTTTTTCCGGTTTTATTGCTGAAACACAAATAACCTATGACAGAAATCCAGTCATTGGAAAAGGAAGACAGGGTTTTTGGATTTAAGAGCAGCGGACCTTGAGACGATCCACCAGCCAGATCAACAGGAACAGGCACCACGACCGGTGCGGTGATTGCTGAGAGGAGAGAAAAGAGAGCCAGGATAGGAGCCATGTTGGCCCAGCTTTGACTTAAGGCTGCTTTTAAAAAGGTCTAGTCTGGACAAAATTGGACTCATGTTGGCCAAGCAATGGAATCAGAGACTGTTGTGCACACATCTTTACAGAACTGCCCACCCAACATCCCAGATCAAGCAGTCGGTGGGCAGACCATGCTCCGAGCTGTCAGCGCAAGACTCAGGAGGTGCGTTTTACACTGATGATGCTTGGTGCTCAAACACAGTCCTCATACAACCTTGTGTTGTATAATGATATATAAACAACCTTGTAAACTTGAATAAATATTCCTTTTGCTCTGGACGGAACCTCACTGAACATGCCACCAATAATGTGCACCTCTTAAAATACATACAATCATCACCCTTCTCTGCATATAACTTCAAACACCCTCTAGCCAGAACATGTTAATGTTAATAATGTTGACAAACACCGGAGGAAATCAAAAAGGAACAGAAGGAATGAACAATTAGAAAGGATTGTTTATAGGAAAGTAATAAGAATGACTGACCCAATATTATAACATTTAAGTGGTTAAAAGGCTGCAGTGGTTGCCATGGCATTTAAGCAGGCTGTTTTCCTCTGAAATTAGGTGCGTTATTGAAAGGACACACACACACACACACACAATTTATCAGCAGGGGGCGAGTATAACAAGGGGATGAGAATCAGCCACATTCCACAGAACCACCAGTTATTTGAGTTTTCCATGTTGTCATAGGGGGCACACACACACACACACACACACAAACACAGAGTATAATTTCTAACAGGCCAGGGTCAGGGGGGAAGACATCAGTTCCATATTTCCTCTCTAGTGAGGGAGAAGCATTAAGATCTACGGAGGTCCCAAGAAAAGTAATTTCTCTGGACAAGAATTTCTATCCAGTAATGTTTCTACTCTACTCACTTCAGTTATTTTCTGTCGTGCTGTCACATAAAGCATCTCCCTTTTCTATCTTCCTGAAAGATTACCACAAGTATGTCATAAGACCTGTTTGAGTAGGACTAGTTTCTCTTGAGACAATCAGGTCATTTCAGTTTTTCAGCAACATGAATCCCATCTGCATTAGCAGTGGTTTGCTAAGTTCATCTTCTTGTGAGACAATTTCCACCATAAACATCAACTGTGTTATGACAAATGTCAGGAAACTTCTGATAATTGTGTTCCCCTTTGTGTAGACAACTTTATGACTATTATAATTTCCATTCAACTGCTGTAAAATTAAACATTATTTTCAATAGCATTAGGACTTTATTGTATAGTTACAAGAGGAGACTACAAAAGACAATAAATATCAATATAGCTACAAGTGGCAATGATCGGGATCCAAACAAGTCGTGAAAAATGCAACATTTGACATTTTCAGAAGAGAAGAACAGATGCAGATGACTTAAGAGATTAAAGTGATGAAAGAATTTGGACTTTCAGATAATTGCAGAAACGCAAACTTGATTTTTACAGCACCACCTTGAGAACAGAGAGTGTCATTATATGTACCGGACTACTGAGAGAATGTTCAACCCACCTGTGACATTTTGTGTTTCCAAGATTTAAAGTTTAAGCTGCACAAACTCTTTTTAGCAGAGAAAAATAATGGGAATAGGAATAAAGGGTCACGAGATCCAAATAAAATAGAGAACTTAGACTCACTATGATCTGAACACCCCCAATCTCAGCTTACTTAACTTAGTCACCTGGGGATTTGAACCCTGGAACTTCAGATCTCCAGAGTAGGTGACTTACTGACTGAGCTACTGGTGAGAGTCTGTTTCCACGCACCTTCTCACAAGTTAAGGTAGTGACGTCACATGTGCCAGACCCAGATAGTTGTGTCAGTTTAAAATTAAAATGCCTAAAACAGTCAAGATGACGGTGAGAAAATTCAGAGAACAAAAATCACACATGATTCTGCCGGTTTGTGGTGTGTTGTCAATTATTTTGGTGGCATTTGATCCAACACTGAGCCAAGAAGAAAATGTTGTGCATACTGTACAAGTTATGGCAAGATACTGAATATCACTGCAGACCCACTGTTTGACAGATCTGAAGTTCCTTTGATACACTTGAGATCGGCCATCTAGAGAATGTTTGTGTTGATTTTCGTAACGTTTAAAGAAAGACTTGTGGAGATACAGATGTTAATAGAATTAGCACATTCTGAAAAATATACAGTGACTGACTTCTGAATTGACCATAGGTTACAGTGAGGCAAACATTTGTCACGTTACGTTGTTTGTGCTGAAACAATGTCAGCTCTCTAGGACGTACGGGTAATTTTCTTAGATTTTTTGAAGTTTGGAATGAGAAATGTCTAGAAATTTACATTTGTTGTAATAAGCCACACCCACTTTGAGCAATCATTATCAAATATTATGCATCAACTGAGTAGTGACCCTAGATCGTACAAACCGAATTTTGTACGACTCCATGCAGCAAATTACGAGGTATCAACTTTTTGCAAGTGTAGTGCCCCCTAGTAGAAGAATATCCCAGGACTGCTCAGCGAAGCTCGGACTGAGCATCTGAACAGACACATCAAGTTTGGTTACAATAGCTTAAGCCAAATTTGATTTACGGGCATTTATGTAAAATTGTATGTAAAGACACATAAGTCAAAATTTATGGAAAAAAAAAAAAAGCGACGTCTGTAGATGATCCTGCCAAAGTTTCAGGTCGATTGGTGAAACCGTCTGGGACGAGTTTGCAAAAATAGGTTTTAGAGAAAAGTGATAAAAATCAATGCGTGCCAAATCGGGTTGGTGGCCTGCTGTACAGAGCAGGAGGAACCGTAGCAGAGAGTCTGATCCAAGCAGGTCCAGAGCAGAATCCGGGAATAGTTTAGCTGGTCGGGGGTCCAGGCAGAGAGCGCACAGGATGAGCGGTGTTTCCGGTAGCGAAACTAAATCTAACACATTATTATGCAAAATTCACTTTTAACTTTAATTATAGCGACAAAATGCTCTTCTTCTACAATCGGCCTAATATAATTAGGCTTATTTAAATGCGTTCATTGTGTTGTTGTTTGTTTCCAGCCTACAGTTTGATACTGATTAATTTTAAAATTTAGGAAATTTGACTGTTGTGTGATCTGTAATGAAATTAAGCAATTGTAAAATTAATCAACACCATAACTTCCACACTACTGCTGTCATCACTCAGTTTAAAGTGCTCCCACACAGCTAAGGGCTTCATTTCGTTTTCCCTTTGACGTGAACTGGAGTGTTACGTTCACTGCTGTTGGCGGAGGTCAGGCGCGCGAAAAAAACCCTCAAATAATAATCAAATCTCATAATTGAAAATCGAATGTGTACCCAATGGTCGAATATTCGATTATTCGGGTCCAGCCCTACGTTAAGCCTTTTATTATATTGAAATATTATATATTTAAACTGCTGATATATCTCAGGCCTCAACACAATTGGAGACGCCAGAAGAAAAACATCAATAAATAAAGGTTCAATAAATTTAATCCTAACCTTGCCTCCTCCTTTGAAACTAACAACCTCCAATCCCCTGGTACAAACATACCTCCCCCTCACTGCTGTATGTTGCATAAGAGCAGACATGCATTAATAATACCTACAAAGACAGCTGGATAGTAATTACTGCTGTGTATCTGTACTGCTGATACAGACACAAAAACACACACAGACACACCTCGGTTCTTCATCCCCTGAGACATATGTTACTAACATGTGACAGCACCACACTAATGATATTAATCACGAGTTAGGTGTGTTACACTTTATAACACTGTACAACCTGGAGTCAGCTTCATTGTCATCATTTCAATGACATCACTTGACCTTAATAGTTTTCCTCAATTGGAAAGCCTTTCATTACATTGTCTGTGTTGATCTGTACTTTACCTGTAAGTACTGACGTTTATTTAAAGTCGAAATGCCACACAACAATAAAAAAAGCTATCAGTGAAAGTTACTCTGATATGCTTAAGTGTGATCATTCAAGTGCGGACTGTTCCTCTTTGTTTTCCTCTGTTTGGTGCACGGTCGTGGACAGTTGTTCACAAACACACAGCCACGCACCTTTTTTCTCTCCAGTGAAGGGCACTACATCCTCTCTGTCCTTGTGCTCCATGGCTTCCTTCTCCAGGTATTTGAGGAGGCTATCCCTGTTGAATGACCCTGTTGCTTTCTTAGCCGTCTGGTCCTTCTGACGTAAGCCAGCCGGGAGAAGAGCATTCTGAGGAGAAGAGACGCATTAGAGTTGTCAACTGTTGAAGGCTTAAATACACTTGCTATATACTTGGGTAAAGGGTAAAATCATAATTGTGTGTTGTAAGCAGTAAAATATACAAACACGCCTTCTATATAACGAAAACATATCCATTCATGCAATTAGTTGAACATTCCTGAAACAGTGCCATGCAGCACAAAATACAGGTTTCATTGTATTGCCACTCTGCTGCCCAATCTGGCCCAACGCCAGTTTGTGATATCAGTATCTTGATGAAGGTACAGTACATGTACTATGACATCCATATAGCATCAGTTTTATTTAAGTAGGCTGTTCTGCTCTAAAAGCATTTTGCTTAAGTGTGTACTAAGCACACACAGGTTAAGGTTTGGGTGCCTGTCTGTTCCAAACCCTGATGTGTTCTCAAACTTCTTTGTCAGATACAGCGCTGCAAGCAAATGCCTGTATATCCCTTGTATCTTCAGATCTGTGTGGTAGTTGGCATAAATGCCAGATATGAGTTTGACAAGTTCCCAGAACAGGAAATAAACATACTATGAACTAGTTTAACTTGATATGTCAACCAAAACATTATGGCATAAAATACCTAACATAATAGTCTAACCAACTGTGGACCATTTGTTGTAAGTGAGTGAAAACTTGGGGGAGGGGAACAAGGATGTGTGAAAAATGTGAAACGTTTGACTATCCAGCCTGTGCACACTGAAGCTATTTAAACCAAATGCAGTGCTTCTTTTTGTGGACACACTAAATTCTACTTTGTCTACTTAATGAGACAAGATCCAGATACTGATATTCCCCTACTGTTGCTGACTGTTTCCTGTGGGTCACAATGTAGGGTGATCTCACTTGGGGTAGATGGAATTTAACTAAAACGCCCAGGCGCTGGGAGGGATTTCATTCTACTCTACAGTCACAAATAAACAAACAAACACTTGGCAGGCTGCTGACAGAGCTACTACAACTCAGACTCCCTGTTTAAATTATTCTTTAATTATTATTTGGCTGGGAAAAATCCACCCTTTCATTTGTCCAATGCATTTCAGGAAAGACGAGAGGCATACACTTGTTTGTACCTTGTAAAACTAGATGTAGTTTATGTGACAACTTTATGCATGTCTAAGATTGCAGTGTTGTACATTATTTGAGAAAAAACTATCTATGACACCAAATATTTATAAGCTTCTATAGGTGCAAAAAATGCACGTCTTTTTTATCTTTAAAATTGGCCATTTCCCAATAAATCCCTTTGCCACAGGAACTCCCTCCCGCTAAAGAGCCCTGGAGCTCCTCCAACCCTCATCGGGGCCTGACCTCAGGGTCCATTTCCTCGAGGGCTGTCTCCAGCTGTTTGAGCTCCTCCGCCGACAGGTTGTTGAGGATTTCATCTTCGTCGAGATCCTTATACTTGTCCAGGTCCTTCTTGTACGACAGCGCCATGGTGCTGGCTATAGCTTTCTAAGCAACACTGAGGTGCAGACCACGCTGCCACACTGTTTCTTCTCAGGCTCACTGCTCGAGAATAGGGAAAGGCTACCTGAAGACAAACAAGGGCACAAACACACACAAATAAACATTCATGATTAGAGACAGGCAGGATAATTCCTTTAAATTTAGCGGACTAAAACAATGTAATGTAATGTTATCTCGTAAAATGAGGTAAACATTGTTTATCTCATCCCTGTTAAACAATAGTCCATCACAGATGGGCTGAATAATGACATCTTGCAGTGATGCAAACACACACAGCTGGAACAAAGAAGAACTTCTCCGGCTCAGAAAAATCATCTGACTACTACCTTGAGTATCACCAACAACATTGTGCTACTTCAGAACACATTATCAACATAAAAAAAGAAACAAAATAAGCTTATGGTAATGGATATGAAAGTGCATGTTTATATTTTTCTTCTAGGGATTAACGGCCTGAAGAATTAATTGTAATCGTAACAGTGCCAGGAAATACTGGAATAAACTATTGAATAGATTTATAAGAAAATAACACCACAGTTTAGATTAAATAAAGCTCAGATAAGTGAATGAGTAAGGGAGAGAGTGTGTACCCTGTCAAACAAAATGAAGAGGCTTCAGCCTTCAGTTCCCTCTCCCACGCCACAGCCCGAACACAAAATGACCTCATGATTTCCAGATTCCCTGCAGGACTCCACAGATGGTCTTAGTCCTAATCACACACACACACTTTACTGTACGCACACTAGAACTAAAACGAGTCTTTTGCCAATTGGCTGGCTCGCAGTATTGGCAAAAAAAAAGAAAACACTTTTGCAGTAAAGACAACGTTGTGTGTGTAATTACAGAATGAGCACAAGCACTTAGGGATATCACATCAGTCTCACTGATTCATGTCATAGTGAAATAAAGCACCATCTCTAAATGCAGTGACAGCAGAAAAAAATACCCTGTGCTTAAACTCTGGTTTAGCCAAGGATTCTTTAAACAATTAGTACCATTTCCCCAGAGCCGCCTGAGTGATTTCTCCAATTCAGAGGAATTCCCTGAAGAGTCTGTGTTTCTCGTACTGTTTGGTTCCTTGTCACTACAATCCAAGCTCTGTCCTGGACTAATCCTTCCCCTTCCCTCCTCCATTAGACCACTAAAACTACACACATTCATTTCTGAAATGATTATGAGAGTCAGAGAAGGGGCATTTGCATGTCCGAGTGGCAGCACATAAAGCTGGGCCCAAATGTCAACACCGATGACTTTAATCAAAGAGTATGAATATAATGATCGACAATAATAATCTCACCCCAACGTTCTACTGTACAGATGTTTATTCGGATCCTGGGAAACAGAGTCAACACAGTAATGTCTAGTATACTGCTACTGCAGCATACTGTCACAGCTAATTGGGAGGAAGGAAATCAGCCAGTCAAGCTGCAACAATTAATCGATTAGTTGTCGGCTACTAAATGAATAGACAAGTATTTCGGTTTGAGTCATTTTTTAAGAAAGTGGTCCTCAGAAGTAATTCGCAGATTCCAACTTCTTAAATGTTAATATTTTCTGATTTCTTTACTCCTCTATGACAGTGAACTGAATAACTTTGTGGATAAAACAAGACATTTGAGGATGTCATCTTGGACTTTGGGAAACACTGATTGATATTTTCTGACATTTTATAGACCAAACATCTAACTGATAAAGCAAGAACATAATCTACGGATTAATAGACAATGAAAATATTCGTTAGCCCTAAAGCTAAGATAATAAGTGCTAGACAAGTAAGTAGGGCTGGGCAAAATGGCTCTGACTTTTTCACACCACACCCAAATTGTTTTCTTAAAAACATCCTACACAGACAAAGGAACTTCAGCAAAATACTTTCGGCTTTGCAGCTTGTATTTGGGGTTGATTGTATTCAGCATGTGGATGAACCCAGGCTTTTCAACTATATGGGCACCATATCTCTGGCAATGTGTAACGCAAATACATCTGTAATGTCTTTCCATCCGAGAATCTTCTCATATGGGATTCTAAGGGGAAATAATTCTGCTAATGTCACCTTGTTTTTAGCAGGTGTTTTAGGTCTACTGCTGTCTTGTGCAACTCACAGTGCAACCCACTTTTCCCACTGCATGTCTCTATCTGACAGTTAGCCAGGCTGCTTTTAGTTGCTGAAGACTTAAGACAAACAGCGGAAAGTGGTTTGCTTGAGGGCAGACACTGCAAAACCGAACTGCTTCCAGAAGACTGAGGAGACAATGCCCGAAAAAATTACATGAAGGTGAAATTATGAACACAGCATTAAAGAAACACTACGTACATCCAAATAAGTTTTATGTTAAGCATTATCTGACAGATTAAAAATCAAATAAAAAAATATGAAAATCGTTTTGCGTGTTGCTTTCACAACAGCAGTCTTCTGTAACGTTGATGTAATTACACAAGCCTTTGCCAGCATGTTTTTGGAAAAGGGAGTTTTGTATTTCATAATCAACACCAAGATGTCCAGGGACACGAAAAACATATGGAGGCTTTACTGTGATCATGACTGTTTCCCCCCCTTAACAGCTTGCCAGGTTTCCAGAATCTAGAAATATGTTTGAAAATGAAGACGTTTGATGTATTCGGCCATAAAAACCTAACTCCTTTCATTTACTTCCAACCCAATCTTTGCTAGCCAGTGAGAGCGTATGGAAAGAATGGTTTTTGTATCTTATGAAGTTTGATTTATGACTTTCTTGGTCCTAATTTTGGTTAAATTACCCAGACTAATTCTGGGATGTGCATAAGGCAATGACGAGATGACATTTCTGGCAGGGATCTGAAAAATGCACAGACGCAAACCAGGGATAAGGGCTAAGTCACACTGTGCACGAGCGCATGCACACGCACACACAAACACACATAATGCTCTTATGACAAGCTCAGCTTAAAATAACACAATTTACCATATTATCCTACTCAAAAACACTTCCCACTTTACAGACACACAACACATTTAAAACAACAGCCACTGTTTACAATGGTCCAGTTCTTCTGAGTGTGCAGACAGAAGAGTAGTGGAGCATGCAGACAAGGATAATGATGGCAATGGGTGGGTTCAGGCCAAGGCAGAGACACAGAGGATCCATTAGTCCAATCTGATTGATTCCTTTCTCCTTCTCCTCTCTGCTAATCCTTCAAGGCAACAACAGATGGCTCTGAGCCAATAATACTGCAAACCTGTCTGCACTCTACACTCACCAACGCTTTCCTACACTGACCCGTACACTCAGACGGTACTGTTGGACTCATAAACAAATGACTGAGGACTGTGCAGGGACAGAACCACAAATACCACAATTTAAGTTCACCTGACAGGCTAGATGTTTACTATGATCACATTTTCAGCGGTAAACTACAATTAAATAGAAAATCTCATCTACTGCATGTCTGCATAAAAGACCAAAAAATATTATTCTTGAGACTAAATAATTTAGTAGTAGGTCACAAAAAAATATTAAACAAAGAAGGGCTGGACAACATGCCCCAAAATGTTATCACGAAAAAAGTTTCATATCTTTCATTATCGATAATTATCACGATAAGTAACAAATCGTTATTTCTTTCTAGTTTAAAGGAGTGAAAGTTGAAGAAACCTGATGATTAATTGTGGTTTAAACTCTTCTTTATGGTCAACACTTGATGCAAAACAGTGGATCACTTCACAAATCTGAGACAGAACTTTCAAAATAATTATGATAAAATTAAAATTAAGTAAATTTTCAGTCCTTTTTCCTCAACAAAATAAACATCTTAATAAAAAAAAAGTCCTAATTCGTGTATGATTCAAGTGAATAAAATTAAACATTTATTGAATATTTATTGAACATCTGTTATATTGTTATTGAAAAAAATTATATTGCGATAATTATTCATATTGTTTTATTGTCCAGCCCTAAAACAAAGTTACTGTAAGAATAGGTTTCTTTCACTTTCTTTCATGGGCAGAATACGGGCCACGTTCTTTTAGAAATGAAGTAATAGAAAAGGGGAAGTGAAATGTAAAATATTTGTTTCTACCTTTGTCATCATCACTACCTCCAAAAAAACTCACCCATGTTTTAAGTCAAATGGTGAGGGATCGTCTTATTTTAAAAAGTGGCTTATATCATATAACCCGCAGCACATGTAAAAAACATACTAAGTTTATCTCCATCAAGTATAATTCTTGTGATCAACATTCAGGTTGCCTGTGCTATTTTGGTTCTCAGAGGCAGAAGCTGGAGGAACAGTAACTTGCAGCTCAGACATGAACAGGAAGCCCTAACTGGTTATTACATTATTATAGAACAACACCCACAAAAAGACTATAGTTAGAATGACCCAGCTCTGCTGCCCATGGGACAAGAGTCTGTACTTCCTCCTCCCACCTACTCTTCTCCACTTTTATTCGCTACCCTTCTGTTTCTCCACCCTGTTGTTGCTCAGTTCTCATGTATTCTATTTGCATTCAGCCTCCTAAGGTGTCAGAAATGATAGAAAACAGATGGAAGCAGATAGAGATAGAAACAGAGTCAATCCATGCTGTCACTAAGATATGGTGGAGAATAAAAATTGTTTAAATAGTTATCATGCAGATGTCATCTGTCAATAAAATTATGGGTGCGTTTCAATACCCATACTACCATGCTATTAAGTATGCCAGAAAATGTTGCAATGTTATGATGAAGTAGTATTTCCCAATTGTATGCATACTGCATGCAACAGTACTACTAAGGGCAGCTGCAGTACGTGCTGAAAGTATGTGATTTTAAATGCAGCATATATGTGTCAGAAAAAAAGAAAATCATCATTTACATTACATCATTACTATTCTGAGCCTCCAACTCTTGGTCAGGCTAGGCAGGAAGTGGGGTGCTTCTCTAACAAACATGCATGATTTGTGTACTCCCCTCTTTTAGCAGCACACTCCAGACACGCACTCCATTATTATATAATGAGAACTGATTTCAAGGGGTGCCGTCTTTCAACTCAGCATCTGAGTAAGAGTGTGAATAATACAGGTTCAAGTAAGGCTGCCACTTTCACGCCTTTTTAAAGACTATTCAGTCACTATTCTCTAGTGTGGCTGCATTACACCAAGGGTGAAAGTAGGCACTAACTCGCAGCCACGTTTCATTCTCCCATGAAAGGTATGCAGGTTAAACTAATCCTATCTGGGGAGCCTGTTTATCTGCAATACCATACTGCAGAAAATGTGACACAGTAAACAATATCACCAAAAATGCCATATCAGCAGTCTCCATAAAATTGCTCCTGGTTACAATACCTGCTTCACAGCTTCAGGAGGGCCACCTGCCTTCAGGCTAAAAGAGCAAACAAATCTTCCCTTTGCAGACGTCCTCCTTCAGACTTGAACCACACCCTTCATTCACCATTGAGCTCCTGCTGGTCAAACTACCTTTGTGAACAACACACATAACTCTTAAATCAGCTCTTGGAAAAGGAGTGTGTCACCAGACTCACTCACTCGCTCACACACACACACGTACAATGACCTCGTACCTATCTAACAGATTTTACTGTTAAAGCCACGCCTTTCCCCTTACCCTCCACAGTGGAGTTAGTCATCCCACCAAAAGCACGACCTTTAAAAAAACACTGAAAGTCTTGTTTTATAGTTAAACAGACAAACACTGACGGTACTGATGCCGTGTTTTTAAAATGTATTGTCTGGCTGACAGGGATGGGCGGCTGAGATTAAATTAGTCGTACGATTGCTTAGCAACTATCTAACACAATAAAACAAAAAATATGGACCCAACCGACACCAGAATCATTAGATAACATATATTAGTGTCATAAAATGACACATTATATCGCACTTCCAAATCTAATATATATCAAGTAAGTTACGTTATGTTCCTTTGGTGGCTGCTGCCTTCGCTGAAATAGTTTCATCCATCTCTTGTGGACATAGCGGGCTACGGAACGGCGTTAGCTAACTCGCTCTTGACATGTTTATTATTAACGTTACCACGCTGACAGTAACTTAAACATGTTCGTCGTGGTTACCGTCGTCTAGCGAAAAGACACCACACATTAGCCAAGAAACAGCTAAAGTCACACCAAGCGGTTTACAGGACACTTACTTTAGTAACGTAGCTACATTTATCGGATGCAGTAACAGCATGCGATGACATGTAGCAGCTAACACCCTAACCTTTGCAGTTGACTGAAGTTGCTAGCCGTTTAGCTAAACCACCCAGCTACACAGCACACATATTCAAGTGACAGTGTGTAAAACAGTACGGCTAGCAAGTTCACTGAATTGACATACTAATTCCAAAACCCCCGATGTATATTTTTCCTTACTTGAGGCTGGTAGGACCCAACTAAGGAATCTCCAAATAATGCCAGTCTTCCCAATAAACGCGATGTCTTCAGCGGTTGATTTCTCACTCAGCCCAAGGGCGGTAACACAGGAAGAGAGAGGGAGAGAATTCTCTGAGTGACGTCTGATTGAACCAATAAACAAAGAGTATGCGAGGCATGGACCAATGGCGTAAATAAGCCCACCTTTTTTATCTAGAAGGACCTATCAGATGAGAGACAGGACATTGAAATAAAATAAAATAAAATAAAATAATCTACTAGCCACCAGTTCAGTCTATTACATTTTCACTGTCTAAAAAGCACATAATCAGTATCCGATGAACCAGGACCTTATAAATGCTCATTATGATAACTCTGTATCTCCATGATAACGAAGCAAACTCCATCTGCTGTTGGATACCTTAAGAAGTAGTTAAAAGACCCCTAAAAATCTGGTAAGTGGACCATAAGTTAAGATTTGTTGTTTAGTCAAACTTCTCACTACTACACTATTATGAGTTGACATGGGTTTTATCTAAAGGGAATTATTGCAGATAGTTTATTTTTGATCAAAAGTAAGGAAAACAGAAATAGAGTGAAAAGTCAAGTCAAGGTGATTTATAACTGTATGGCCCCAAATCACACCACAGCCACAATGTGCACAACATTGACCCCATCTGTCCTTAGACTCTAGATTCAGATAAGATAAGATATGAGAAAATGTATGTATAAGAAATATAGTGATAGAAAATAAGAATGAAGTGATAAAGTTCAAACATAATATTTCTTATGTAAAGTGTTTCAGGCAAAATGTAAATGTGTTCAGAGTGAAGTCTGTGGATCTAAGAAGATATGAGGCAACTTCAAGTTGACGCCAAGCAGTGGACCAGAAGCTACCTAGCACCACAGAGACCTGGAAAGACAATACACACTATACACACACAAAAGGCAAAACTCACAGACACAGACAGTTCTGACTTGTGGCTCTGGCTGCACAGGGGAGTACAGAGTTTACCTGATTTCCTTTTCTCATACAAAAACTAAATTCTCTTTCCCCTGCCTCACTCACACAAATACCCACACTGACACACTTTGTGTAGGCCTGCTCTAAAATTCTTGATTTTAAAGATCAGGGAAAGCTCATCTTCTTTTTACTGCACCGTGTTATACAATAGTGGAGATAGAATTTCATGTACCCTCTCGGTTCACACAATATGTTCACTGCAACAAGATGCCTTGCATGTGGCACAGAAGGTTTGGGATGAGATGTTGAAAGTAGCCTTTGCTGAAATCAGATAAACGATATAATCAGCTAAGCTAAGCAGAGAGGAAGATGACTTTGCTGTCATTTTAAATCAGTTTCGCACCACAGATGAGTGTCTGTCCATGGATCAATACATATCAGCTGAAGGCAGGGTTTACTACAGGGTGACAGACCACTTGGTAGTCAACATGGTCAAAATCTTCTGTGGTGTTAAAATATAAACAATGCCCTGTGACTGTCAAAAATAATCAGGTATGGCAAATGGGTGGTAGCTGATTCAGTGGGTTATCCAGACACAGATGCCCTGGATTTGGCAGGCATGTTATATAGACATTCACACATTAACCTACCTTGGGTTTAGGAAAAATGAGACTCACTGTTCCAATAGCTGCCAAGTGAAACACCAATAAAGCCTGAGCTTACATCAGCAGATGGCTGGAAGGAAGACAATTCCAATAAATACAGTTGCTGAAATGTGCGTTCATTTTCCTATTGGAGTTTTTAATAGAAAAGTCAGTATTTGGTTACTCATTAATAATTTATGTTTTTTATAAATACATATAATCCTCCATAGCATCACAATGATATTGCCATAATATTCCCATAGCAATAGAAAGTCAACTTCAAATTTTGCTTAAACAAATAACCAATAAAATAGAAAACAAGGTTTTTATTCTATTCATGATATCACTGATGAAGATGTAGGCTACTGTGCTTTATGATACTTTACAGATGCTATGAATTTTTTCTCCTGATAATCTTAAAATGGGATAAGATAACCTTTATTGATCCCACACCTGGGAAGTTAGCTTGTTACAGCAGCTTGATATTCAAAATGTACAGAAGAAAGAGTGAGATAAAAACAATATAAATAAAACAACAAGACACATTTGTGGACAGTTACTTTAAACTCCATTTTGGATTAATGTGTCATGTTTATGTTCTCCAAGCCACTTGAGGACTGTGTCAGTTGATTGATGGCAACATTGTGGTTACTGTCTTGTATTCCAGATATTCATTGCTTGATGACTCCATCAATCCAAGATGGCCGTTTGTGATGGCCATGTGCTAAATGCCTCAGGCATATCTGTGAAAACTTTTATTCAAGGAAGCCAATCAAGGTAAAAACAATTGTAGCATGTACAGTACAGTATGAATAACACGTTTATGTTTTACAAACTAAAATATAGAGTAAAATGTAGGTTTTATGCACCAAAAAACAACTGTCAATGTATGTGGACGTCATGCAACAGTGGAGTCAGATTGCATTGAGTAACCTGCCAGTATATCTATTCTCCTTTTTCAAAGATGTGATGAATTTTATTGTATTATAATAAAACAGGCATTTAACAAATACATGAACATTAATAACAGTGCAAAGGTCCATATTACACTATTAAATGGCAACTTTTGATTGCTTTGTGGGTTTTCACATGAAATAAGAAGTACTGTACTCACCTACTGTAAAGACATCAGTTGTATGTAATCTGTTACATTTGGGATGTTAAAATGTTATAACTGAGATGATCCAATATGAAGTTAGATAATGATAAAAATATGCTGCTGGGTTTCCAGACAGTTAAACAATTTAAAAATAAAACGGAATTTTGTGAGAAAAATGTAAATGGATTTCAATGTTTAAATTGCTGAAACAAATAACCAATATAATTTACAGCCTGGTTTTCATTCTAGCCATGATATCCCAGATTTTTTCACACATGGGATGCAAGATGGAGCTGAGTCTACTGTGTGTTATGATACTTAACAGATACCTTGAATTTCTTGCTTATCTTCTTTTATATCTTAAGATGAGATAAGATAACCTTTATTGATCCCACACCTGGGAAATTTGCTTGTTACAGCAGCTCAAGATTCAAGATGTACAGGGAAAAAAGTGTTATAGATAGTCATTTCTAAATATATATTTGGCTGTTTATTATTTGTTTAAAAAGGAAACTATTTAAACAAAAAATAAATATCAAACCATTGCATTTAGAGTAATAATTGAGTATTTTATTTTGTGGTGACCAGGGCCCCTGAGTTTACCGTGGTGCATGTCGACTCCTTGCGGCTGATAACACTCACTACACCGGCGTGTCCGCCTCAGCCTGAACTCGGAAACAAAACCTCAACGCCCGGCGATCATTTCCTGTAGGTTAAGTTTTACTACAGTTGGGAAGAAATGGCGGACATGGATGAATTGTTCGGGAGTGATGGAGACAGCGACAATGATCAGCGAGGTAATGTAGTCTCATTTGATTAGGAAGTTTGCTTTTTTTTTTTATGGGTATCGAGGTTTTACCGATGCAAAGCCGAAGGTAGCTTTGCCCATGTGATGATCGGGAACAGTGGGACCTGAACCTTACACAGATTTCACAGCTGTGTCTTATGATTAGGATGTTTAACGGTAACTTACTAAACGTTTGTTCTGCCCTTCATTTTGTCAGTTTTTATTTTAACAAGCTAACCACCCTTCAGTGTTCATGAAACAAACTAACTACTGCAATAACGTTACAGTGTTTCTCAAGCACATGTTGAAGTCGGCCAAATGTTAGTGTAAACGTTGTTGTGCGTGAAAGCAGCATCGTGTTTTAACACTTGTTAATTAATGTTCTAAAGGGCAGCTTGTGTCAGTATGAGAGAGTATGCTGCAATTGTTTTTTTAATTTATCACTGAGCTTTAACAGCAACGTTACATACACTATAAGGACAAAAGTTTTGGGGACACTCCTACTGTCCTAATACTACTTTTTTCATGGTGTGGTCTTTGTTAAGGGAAATCTTAACGCTGCAACATACAACTTTTAGACCAACAGTTTGTGTTTGGCCTTTTCTTGTTTCTATATGACAGTGTCCCCCTGCACAAAGCCAGCTCCATAAACAAAGGGTTTTCCCAGTTTAGTGTGGGAAGAATTTCACTGGCCTGCACAGATCCCTGACCTCAACCCTATCATGTACCTTTGGGATAAACTAGAAAGAAGATTGCGAGCCAGGCCCTCTCATCCAACATCAGTGTCTGACCTCACAAAAATTTTTCTGGCTAAATGGGCAGAAGTTCCCACAGATGCACTCCAAAATCTTGTAGAAAGCCTTTATAGAAGAGCGGGACTGTTTTAGCTGCGGAGGTGGGGGGGCAACTCCATATTAATGCCTATGGATTTATAATTGGATGTCATAAAAGTAATTTGTACGTGTCCCAGTACTTTTGTCTACAGACAGCTAAAAGTATCAGTCAAATCTTATGCCGTGCAAAGACCAGTTTCAGCTGCAAACATATTCATTCAAACGTATGTAACGTATTCAAAGGAAGCATTAGGGTGGAAGACATGGACAACATCCTTTATTGCAGTATGTGTTATTTTTCATATATATACTAATGCAACATAACAGAGAATAATGTTAATGTTATTACTGAGGTTGTAGTTTGCAGTGGTGTTGCCACTATAATGCAGTCCCGGACAACACCACTGCACGCTACAATTGGAAAAGCAATGTAATCTGTTGTTGTATTTATCGCCAATGCTTACTCATTCTTACACTCTACGTTTTACAGTTATCAGAAAATGAGTTATCATTGTAGAGTGTGTAATGAGAGTCATAAGAATAATGATAATTAAGACACAACCACCCTCTGTGAACTGATGTGAACTATGTGTCTTTATTGTGTTTCAGAGTCTGGCTCTGGCTCTGGTTCAGACTCAGAGCAGGAGAGACCGCGATCTGCCAGCAACGCTTCAGGCAGTGGCAGTGACAGTGAGAGGGAACGGGATGATGATGATGAAGAGGAAGGCCAGGAGGCAGGAAAACCCAGTATAAATAAGGTGTGTGTCTGTGTTTGACTGATGACACTCGGTAAAAACAGTGTGGATGTCGGTCTGGTAGTGCAGGAGTAGACATGCTCTGCCTGACTCAGGGCTGAGCGATGTGGCCAAAAATTTTATCACAATAAAAAAATTCAAATCATTTGACATTGAAAACGATCACGAAAATGTCAAAAAGTTTAAAGGCTGATTTTTGTTTTCAGAGTGAAAGTTGAAGAAACCTGACGGTGAACTTTGGTTCTTAATGGTCAGAACATGACAAACACTTGATGCCAAACAGTGGATCACTTAACATATCTGAGGTAGAACATTCAGAACAATTATGATAATTATTATTATTAACAAATATGCAGAAGTAAAATTAATAATAAATATCTTAATAGAAAAAGTAATTGCTAATTTATTGAATATTTATTCATATTGTTATTGAGGAAAATTACATTGGGATAATTGTCATTATTGTTTTATTGCCTGGCCCTAGCCTGAATCCTATCCAATAGTCACTTAATTAAATGTTCAGCTTGTCATTTTTATAATTCAGGTCCCACAATGACCTCTGAGGAGGAATGGGGGTATAAAGGCAAGAAATAAATGAACATTTCTGTCTTGCATTCTCATTTTATTGAGCCTGGGTGTTCACGTTTGTCAGTTACATAAGACTCTGCTTATTATCATACCCAAGAGGAGAAATAGAAACAATTTCACCAAAAGTCATTGCTCTGTAATGTCTACCATAGTTTTTTTTTTTTATGGGATACCACTGATCATTGAAATTGCCCTCATCCAAAATACATCTTATTTCTTTTAAAAAATGTTGCATAGACTAACTGTGGACTGATTGAAAAGTACAGTGGAAGTTTGCATGTGCACTCCTATAGATGGAAAAAGGAATACCCTAATTGAAAGTCAGCTTGTGAATGTTTGGCAGCCTCTCAACTATCTGCTGTAATGGTTTTTCCCTGGCTGCATATGAACCCTACCTTTTTACCCCAAGGTTCAGCTATAATAACTAAATTGTCACCCCCTGCTAGAAACACTGAGCAACAGTACAAACATTATGTATGCTTCTCTCACAGTCACAGTTGTGTCTGTAGTTGCAGGATGGGTGTGTGTGCGTACATGGCAGAGAGGTATGGTATTTCAGAGTACAGTATGCTGTGATGATGCCGGTATGTACATCAGCTAAACTCACTCACCTTTCCTTCTACCCAACAGGAGCTGTTTGGAGACGACAGCGAGGATGAGCCACACAGTCAACGCAGCGGCAGCGACAACCAGTCTGAACCATCAGGGAACCAGTCGGACGCCAGCATGCACTCAGACCAAGGGGACAACGATCACTCTGACGCAGAGCAGCACAGCGGCTCAGAGCATGGCCATCAAGATGAGGATGATGACGAGGAGGACAGGGGCCACCGGTCAGATGGAGGAAGCCCGGCTGGCAGTGGGATGTCTGGAGCAGGGAGCCCTCAATCTGAGAGGGGCAGTGTCCGTTCAGACAGAAGGTACGCCATAAATTATATTATATATTAGACCATGCTGTAAATAACTAAATTTGCTTTGGGCTAAGTGCCACAGACAGACTGGTGAAGTCAGGAAGTAATGAGTGTTTGTTTTGGTCTTTTTAAGGGATTTGTTGACAACAGTAAAAACATGGAATATTACCAGCCTTACCATTTAACTACAGTTGCAACAAATAAAAATTTGACAATGATATTTGTTTTGACAATTAAATGTATTGTCCATTAAATGTTGAAAAACTTGTGAAAAATGCCCAAATGGTAATTTCCCAAAGCCCCAGGAGACATCTTCACAAAGAAATCCAATTTGTGGTGACAGAAAAGCAGCCAGACCTCGTATTTGAGAAGCTCGAAAAGTGGATGTTTTAAAAATAAATTAAACAATGAATCAGTTCAAATATCATATTCATAACACATGTTCTGCTGATCAACTAATAATTGACTTATTGTTTTAGCCCTCATCACAAAATGTACTTGTGTGGGCAAAATAACAGCCTAACCTGTAAAGTTATTTTAAGACGTGCTCCTTTGTTGTTGGAGGACCAGGCTTTCTTTTCTTGATCTATTTCTACGTGTTTGTTTTAAACCAGCATGCACAGCGATCCTGGGACTCCGCAGTCGGGGCCTGGCACCCCTCACTCTGATGGAGAAGCTTCTGGCAGGGAAAACCAGTCAGATGATGAGAAGTGGGAAGGAGGGGCTAAGAGCGACCTGTCCGAGGAAGACGAGGAGAAACGTCATTACTCTGATGAAGAAAGAGAGAACTCTGATGACGAGGGACCAAGGAACAGGAAGCCAGGTACTCCCGGGGTCTGGTGTTCAAATATGGAAGAAATATTGTATTTGACCTGGATCATGAGGCAGCCTCTCGTGTTAATCTCCACGCATTACGTTTTGTGGAAGAGGATTAAGGCCATATGTGAAAATTTTATCCTGAGCTCTGAGATTAATCTCAGAACTCTGATTAATCTCAGAACTCTGAGATTAATATGATATTAATCTTTCCCTTAGTGTTTTTTTATGTGATGTAATGTTCCTTTTTTCATTTGTAAGATGTGTTCTGTACCTTTAGAGTCCATGCGGTCATGTGGAAATTATACTGTTAATCACTTGTGATTTTAATTTTCAGAGTCTGCAAAGGGGAGCGATAGTGAAGATGATTTCCTGAGACAGAAAACCAAAGCAAAAACCGCCTCTGATTCAGATTCAGACAGTGATATCGGAACAAAGAAAAGTAAGAAACTGTTAACATTATACAACTGTTAAATTTGGCATTTCCACTGGACATGTGTACTTCAAAGTAGTCCTTCTTCCATGCTGTTCCACAGATAAGACGGCAGCAGCAGCAGACGACCTGTTTGGAGAGGCTGACGACATCTCTTCCGACAGCGATGCAGAGAAGCCTCCGACCCCGGGACAGCCCCTGGTATCTGTCTTTCCTCTCGCTCTCCGTCTCTTTCCTCCACTGATCACCAAGCCTCTTTTAATTGTGCCAAATCCTTTTTTATAAAGAGTTCTCAAATCTCTTTTCCTCAGAGCCTCCCGCTAAGCCTCTCTGCGCTGATCCCTATTATTGCAGGTCATTGAATCATACAGTGTTGTTTTTGAAATGTTCTCTTCCTCTTCCTCTCCTTCCCTTCTGTGTCCAGGATACAGAGGATGGGATGGAGGGGGAGCAGGCCGAAGAGGAACCCGCGCCCGAAACGCGGATCGAAGTAGAGATTCCAAAAGTCAGCACAGACCTGGGATCTGACCTTTATTTTGTCAAGCTGCCCAACTTCCTGTCTGTGGAGCCCAGGTCAGAACCATGGCACTGTCAATAAATACATTAAAAACACCCATTGTACTTGATGAGCTCTTATGTCCTTTTTAAAATGTGGGGAAAAGATAAAAAGATTGAAAATATGCCTCTCCTCACTCCTTTTCCGAAACTTTCAATAGACATCACCCGGTAGGATTCTTTTACTCTGCTGCTAGTGAGGAGGAGAATTGCAAGAGTTTTTACTTAAGTTTCCTTTGTGGTGTTTGCCTAAATTTTATTGGTGGCCATAAAAGCCTTTCTGTAACTTAAAGGTGTATATATTTGATTTTCACTGATTTGCCCTTTTTAGACCCTTTGATCCTCAGTACTATGAGGATGAATTTGAAGATGAAGAGATGCTGGATGAAGAGGGACGGACCAGGCTCAAACTGAAGGTATGTAGTCCATCTTATGTGTGTATATGAATGGGTTTGTAGTTGTCTGTATGGGTTGAAATGGAAATACATTGAAAGCATTATCAGCCTCTAAGAACACATGTGACACTTGTCAAGACATTCGGAAGTGACTCGATTTTGTTATCAAACGATGGACCAGAGTTTATAATACTCTCCCGCAGGTGGAGAATACCATTCGGTGGAGAGCCAAGAGAGACGAGGAGGGTAATGAAACACGAGAGAGCAACGCTCGCATTGTCAAATGGTCTGATGGCAGGTGTGTGTTATGTCTAGCTGGGTTTTGAGGTTATTACACTCTGACACACGGGACGTGCTATGTACTTTTTATGCTTTCAAATGTCTTTTTCTTGCTGCAGCATGTCCCTCCACCTGGGAAACGAGGTGTTTGATGTTTACAAAGCTCCTCTGCAGGGAGACCACAACCACTTGTTCATCCGACAGGGCACTGGACTGCAGGGACAGGCTGTATTCAAAACCAAACTCACATTCAGGTAATACAATAACATGCCATTGTTGTGTTGTTGACGGGCTGCTATTAAGACCAGAGTCTCACACAGACCTGAAGCAAAAACTATGAGTTGCTAGGGATACTCCTCCTTTCTCTGACAGCCGTAGACTAAATAAGCCCCAGGCTGCCTCTAATTTCAAACAGCGACAATGGCAGCCTTGATTCAAGTTGCATTCAGAAATGCATTCTTTGCTTTAAGTCCCTGGATCACCTTGTGCAAGCTGCCCAGGTTTCTCCCAATAAGAAGTGTGTAAGCCTCTTAGCGCCCCCAAGTCTACCTGGATGTTCTGTCTTCTCAGACCACATGGGTCTAGTAGGACACTGGCCAAAGCTCCTTTAATGCACAACAACCCTCCAGCCTCCCAGACAGGACCTTACTATTTGTTCTGACTGAGTATTATCATCAGAGCAGAGTTTTGATTAGGATTAGGGCTGAAGCTGCTCAGGGTACAAATGGTTAGGACACAGTGTTTTTATTTTTAAAGAGGAGCTTTAGGCAACTACAGAAATTAATGGAACAAAAACATTCAAGCAACATGGATACAGAGTTTAGGCTTAGTTTTCTTCTGTTATTGCTGGTTAACTAATGAGGCTCAATTTGCCAAACAGAAGAGATTCTAAAAATCATAGGCGCATTGATCTGAAAACAAAAAGTATGTCTTCATTCGCTGCAACATTTTCTGCTTTGATAGGCTTCTAATGGTCTCAGGGCAGGATCATGAATTAGTTGTAGGTTAAATTATAAAAATGTTTTGATAAAATGTTGCAAAAATAAATCTAATATGACAAAAAAGCTGATAATGTAGGGAGTCATTTTAGTTCCTTCTTGTTGAGTAAAAATGATTTATATAAAAAAATGACTAAGCTGAGGCAGCGATACATGTTGGTATCTATGCAGACAGAAACAGAATAAAACGCTTATTCCACTGAAACACTTTGGTACAAAAACATTTAACAGACAATTTTATAAAACTAATGGTGAGGTCGAGGATCTACTGGTGGGGCACAGCGTGGAAAACAGGCTAGTGTTCGGTGAGGTCTGCTGCCAATTTCAAACCATCCACAAGCTGTCTTAGCTGTATGATGCTGAAAGATATGTATATGTTTGCATTAAGTATTTTTCAGCGGAACACATTGTGTGCATCATTAAATGAGCAAACATGTTGAATGAATTTCCTTCCTCATAAACCATTTGCAAACAGCAAATTAAAAGAATATAAACCTACACTGTTTACATCCAAGTTGGCTTTATATCTGTCTTCTTATTCCTTACCTTTTCTGGCTCATTGCTACTTTTCTCAGTGCATTGTTTGGCAGTACATCGATGTGTTTTGCCAATTTGCAATGCAAATCTTATCATTTTTGTGGTTAATTAAGCTTTTCTTGCAAATTACCAAAAAAAAAAAAAAGAACAAGCACTGGGGAAATGTACACATTCACTTTTAATCTGACGTGGTGTGTTTTCTTCCAGGCCCCACTCTACAGACAGCGCCACCCACAGGAAGATGACCCTGTCACTGGCTGACCGCTGCTCCAAGACGCAGAAGATCAGAATCCTTCCCATGGCTGGACGAGATCCAGAGTCACATCGCAACGAAATGATTAAGGTAACACTCTCACACTGTCCATCTGTTATGTTCTGTTTCTATTTTCTCCGCCCTGTTTGAGAAGCTTTTGTTACCACAGGCAGCAAAAGAGTTTGCATGAGTTGCTGACAAGCATCATGTCTAGTCACATAAAGACATAACCAGACATGCTTACATTATGATGTCACACAGTGGTCAGTGAAATGGATGTAGTGTCTGCAAGTCTGGGAGGTATCTAGATATGATTTTAATCTGAGTACATTTACATCTGTACTTTGATGAGGTCAAGCTCTATCCGACTGCAGTCTGATTACCCAAACTGCATTTTAATACAAGGTGTAAATGGGGTCTATGATTCACCAGATCTGTGTGACCTGCGACTCATGCTTATATTCCATATTTTGACACAGAACTCCTTTAGTGTTCCCATTGTACCTTGTTAAACAGATTAATATGACAGATGTTCAGCAGATGAGTTTGACTGCGGACTTCAACCCACTACTCCCTTTTCTTCTTTATTTTTATTTTTTTCCCACCTTGAGATGTCCATTTAAGATTGATACATAGCGTGCTAAGTCAATTGCGCTCATCAGTGTCACCCTTCGTAACTTGACCAATCAAAGTCTGGATGGGAAGGGGCATTATAAAAAGGTTGACTGTTGCAGCAAACTTTCAAATGTTGAACTCATTATTATGCATGAATGCTTAGGATTATTGATTATGAAGTTAGTAATTAGCATCAACAAATTAGAGATCAATGTAGGCCATTTTTCATGCACAAAGATTTAATGGATGTAAACAACCCACAAAAATGAAACTACTGTAACTGTAATATTATACAAGTGATAAGATATATAGTATACTGTTATGTGAAATTATAAAGAATATAGTAACATCCTATAATTAATATAGTCATATATTTATGTTAACAGTATACTAAAATTAATGTGATGCCTTTAATTTGTTATATTATACTAATAAACTCATTATACTAGTTACCCATCCATGTTGTGGATAGAGCCTCTGTGGTGGACAGATGTAGATTTAGCCAGAGTCAGGATGCCATTGTACCTGTATGTGCTCCCTCTAGCCCCCTTCTCCTGAGAACAACACCTTCCCTTTGTCCTATTTTACATCTGTTTTACTAAAGTTATTGTATAAATATAGTTCAGTAATCTTGTTTACATAAAGTATGGCTTGGGTGGTGCTGGTGTATCGTGTAGCCGTCCCTGGTTCAAAAACCAGGAGTCCCACATTCCACAAGTGGCAGGGAACCAATCACAGTAGAGTTTCCTGTGATGAGTAATCAGTGTTTTAAAAAGCTGTGTCCATTTAAATGCTGCTTTCAATGTGTCTTAATTTTCAAAAACATTTTTAAAAACTGTCAATATTTTAAGGTCTATGCAGTGTCCAGATACAGATAATATGACAGCTCACGTGGCTTGGAAATAGCGATATGCTCACTGAATTTTATGAATTAAGTGTTTATCAGACCGCAAATGAGACAAGAATTGGCTAGCTAGACTGGCTGGGTGGTTTAAACTATTCACATAAACAATGCACCCATGTTATATAGGAATATATGGCTGTTTGCTGTTTCCATTAAGGGTGTGCCTCCACTAAAGATCTTAAATCTTTCGTTGATTAACATTTTAATATGATACATGCAATATATTGAAAGTTCACTTTCAATATATTGCAAGAGCAACAGTAAGACTATCAAGTCCATGATTACTGTTTATGGATGTGTTGTCACAAAATTCTAAAGCATTATGTCAGGTTGTTATGAAATCTACTTTCAAGTCATTCCAAGTCACTGTTTTCTCAAATCATGCTACCAACAACATCCAGCTATTAATGTTAACGTAATAGCTACCTGCTCATACTGATTTCCATGGGCATGCAGCTGTTGAGGCTTTCATCATATAGAAGTAGGCAGGGTTTCATCTAAAGTAGGTTGGAAAAACGATAGATGCTACTCATCACAGAAGTACCACACAGTGAATTTTTTATCACACATTTATGCGCTTACCTAAGTGTAACCAAACGATTTTACAATAAATAACTAGCTATAAACGAAATGTCAAACTTGAAGCCAGTGCTTAAAATAATTCCCACTGGTGTCTCCTGGCAGAAAGAGGAGGAGCGGCTGCGAGCATCTATCCGCAGAGAGTCGCAGCAGAGGAGGATGAGGGAGAAGCAGCACCAGAGAGGCCTGAGCAGCAGTTACCTGGAGCCCGACCGCTACGATGACGAGGAGGAGGGCGAGGAAGCCATCAGCCTGGCAGCCATCAAGAGCAAATACAAGGGAGGAGGAGGCCTGAGAGGTGTGGACGAACACGTTATGTTTACCGCAGTCACTTTCTCTTTTTATACTCTCTCACAAGTGAGACCATTTTTATGAAGCCACTGACGTCTAATGAACATCCTCCTGCTTTTGCCCCATCTCCACCCAATCTAGAGGAGCGAGCCAGGATCTACTCATCAGACAGCGATGAAGGCTCTGACGATGACAAGGCCCAGAGGCTGATGAAGGCCAAGAAGCTAGACAGCGATGAGGTAGGTGTAGTAACCTGCTGGATAGACAGGGGGCAGTGTGATGCAGTACACTGTTGAGGTTAAAAAGCCAACTCGTCACATTACCCTCATGTGAACTGAATAGGACAGAAAATACTGGTCCTGGTGTTGAACGTACATTTCATTTTGCACTGAGTGTTTCTGCAAAAAGTAATGTTGTGGTACCGCCAGGGAAAGAAATTCAACTGTAACATGACAAACTGAAAGTACTGAAAAGCTGCACAGAATGTTCGCTGTTGTCAGCACTACTGACACTTGACTACATATCAGTGCGTCACCTCTTATGTTCTGGTTTGTGCAGGAGGGCGAGGGATCAGGAAAGAGAAAGGCAGAGGATGACGAGGAAATGGCCACCAAGAAGGCCAAGAAATATGTCATCAGCGATGAAGAGGAGGACGAGGACGAGGATGACGAATAATTCACTTTTTTATAATTCCACTGTATTATTAGTGCTCGGCCCACATGGCATATAAACAGCCATATTTTGTTTTGTAGATTTTCTTAAGACCTGCGTGTATATGTGTGTGTGTGTGTGTGTGTGTGTGTGTGTGTGGGGGGGGGGGGGGGGTTCTTCATGTTGTGTACAGCAGAGGTGAGAAATAAAGAAATGGTTGTCTTATGTAACCAAACCTTCCCAAGGCCCTGTTATATTTATTTTTTAAGCATTATGATTCATATGCATGAATCACACTGTTGTGAGATTTTGAAACATAATGCTTAGTCCATATTCCAAACAAAAAGGAGGTTCTTTGAAGTGTTGTACAGACCCCGCCACTTACTCTATCACTTATTCACATAACAAAACACAGCATTGACCAGATCAGTTTGGCTTTGAAGATCATGCAGTTCATGTGGATAAAAAGGTGCCCTCAAGACCTGGAGAGGATAGTTGGGAGACTGGTGTTGAAAGAACCAACTAAACCCCACCTGACAGGAGTGGCAAGAGATTTGGGAATTGAGTAGTACCGTGAGCAAAGGTCCTCTGCCTCCAAGCCCTGAGGAAGGGGAAGGAGTGTAGCTTGACTCTCCATTTTCCAACTCTTCCCCACACCGTTACCCCACTTCTGCCAAACAACAACAACATGAAGACTACATGACTATATATTTGGTCAGTTGTGAAACACATCTTTTACTTGAGTTAACAGGGTTTTGACAATAGCTTGATAGCTTTCCAACACGGACTGCAATGGAAATAACCTTTAAGTTATTTATTTATTCATTGTGTTTTTTATGCCCAACTATTTAGAGAAAAATTTTGGACACTTTTCCCAAAATCTCCCACTGAACACATAAAAACATCTGTTGTGCTTGAATTTAAAAATGTAAATGTTTTTGTCTATGACATTAAAATCAAAGGTGAACGTCAAAATGCACTCAAACAAGACAGATTCTTGAGGCTGGATGTAATGATAGAGGCAAAGAGGTGCTTTAAACTGAATGCTAATTTAGCATGCTAACATGTTGAAGTTGAGGAATTTCAGGTTTCAAATCCAATTGTATAATTCAAAACATACTGTGTGATATGATTATGAAATACTTAAAAATAGTAATTTGAGGACTCTCAGAAAGAATTCCAGTCCGGTTTCGTACGTCAGTGCTCCAGTTGTTAGACAGCAAGTGAGCTTTGGTGAGGCATTGTGACTTGATCCCTTTTAAAGCCACAGAGTGAGAGGGGAATGCGGAGTCCCAGTTACTGATTCAAGTTCATCAGCCAGAATGACGCACAGTGTTGTACAAACACACACACACACACACACACACAGAAGCATTAAATTGGGTTCCCAGAGATGGATGACAACCCTCAAATCTAACCTCTCCCCTAGCCCTGTCTAAGCAGGACTGGCTGCCACCCAGAATACAAAACTGGTAAAATATAATAAGTGATTAAGTAAGTGTTACATAAATTGGCTGCATTCTCTCTCTTGGCAACGGACTCTGTAACACACATACACACACACACGCACTGCTTTAACATGGCCATAGACTACTGTCAGTAGAGAGAGAAGTATCAAAGACTTCTTGGGCACTGTTCACACTCTACACGCGTGTGTACAAGTGAGGTTCTGTCAGGACAGCCGAGCCTTTGGTATTTTCTGAGTGTTTGGAATCTGACCAGTTCCCTGAAAATACATAATAAAGCTGCTTGGTTGGAATGAGGTTATGTGTGACTACAACACTCATTGCTTAGGGCTAGTTGTAACCAGCAGCATTAGCTTGTCTTGCAGTGAGTAGTCCTCTGTATAGCGCATGCTAAGCAATATATAGTACATACTATGAATGTTTAATGCTGCTTCATGCAAATGTTGTGTGTTGCCTTGAAAGAGAAGGTGTCACCAGTAGTGATGTGCTGCGATATCTCAGACTGCAGTGGGTTATGTAAACCCAATTCCACACAGTAAGGATTGGGGAGGAAAGGGGAGGGGCTGCTACACACAGTCAGCACTGAGCAGTGGGGGATGAGACAGAGGGGAGGGCTGCAGCATTTCACACTGCTTTTTTCCTTTCTCCTCCCCCTTCATTTTGTCTTTCTGTCTGTATCACTTCAGTTGATTCTCCCAGCTACCCCTTCTTCCCTGTAACATCACATTTTCTGTGAAGAAAGCACAGACAGCGGCAAAAGCAGAGCAGAGAGAGTATGTTTTCAATTCCTAGAGCCTTGCAGGCACACACACTGAAAGACAGCTGAGTCACTGATGTCACTGAGGGGTAACTTGGCCACTGTTCTGCCGATTAGGCCCAGGGCTAGGGGAGCCAGCGGCTGGGTCAGTATTAGGCCAGGTGCTTCCTTGAAGTAAACAGAGATGCGTTTTGAGTGATCTCAGCCTCCTCTTTGTTTGCCTGCACTGATGCCCTGGTTGACCTGAGTGTTTGTGTGTGTATCCAGATATTACAACTACGTATGTTCCTTGAGTCATACCTTAATTTCATCAGTTACACTGCTTTTTATGATGCTAGAGTGGTGTTAATTTGAAAATTAACAAAGACCGTCATTGAATCAGTACACTAAACTTAACTTAATGCTTTGTGCCTCCTCCCAGGACAGAAAATATTCTGACCCTGTTCATGCTAAATTTTTATTAACAGGGTTTATTCACATGAAATTTTTTTTCTCTCTTTTTCTCTTTTGATTGGTGAAAATATTTACCTACTTTTGTACTTGTCCTTCTTTGTTGTCTGACTTTGTTGGGATGGCCTAAAGCCCTTTTCTACATTGTGTGTAATATATTGAATGTCATGTATATTTATATTTTCATAATTTGTATTGTCTCACCCAAATCGATTGTTTTCTGTTTTCTATTGAGCTATATTTGATGCTTGCATGAACATATTTTTAACCATAAAATATAGGAATATACAGTATAAGAGGTACAAACAGTACAGACTTTAAGTTTGTTTTCTCTGGTGGAAACAGGATACATTTTGCACTGAACTTGAGTTTCTTAATGTGTAATTCCCATTTAATTTCAGACTTAGTCAAGTATTTCCCGACAATCATTGGTGTGATTTCTATATGGCCCAGGTCCTTTTTTCTGTCTATTATCGTTCTTTTGTTGTTGTTGTTCACATATTATTATACTATTAATTTAACTACCTCAATTACAGTACACAACTCTGTGTACCCTGACTGTATTTCATAGCTCAGTGCCCTTTAACCCTGTCTCAGTATGCCCCCTCTCCCTGCTGGTGCTTATATAAGAGGCCTAATAAATAAAATAGAAACACAATACTCTACTTTCACCACAGGATCCTCAAACACTCACACATGACACTGGCCCAGAGACTGCAGCGAGGGTCTTAGCATTTTCCCTTACGCACAAGCAGGTGTGCATTAGTCATGCACACATACACACAAGCACAATTGTAACAGTTCAGTATGATATGTTTTTTCCTTCTGACCTTAAGGATTTGGGTCAGCCTGTTCTGATGCTTAATCTGAAAACAACGGGTCACCTTCAACTGTGAGCTGCTCTGCGCACAGATTACACTTGAGCTTTTCCGAAAACAGACACAAAAAAAAAAACAACAAACAAACAAGCAAGCTGACCCTCTGTGGCACAGCTTCTCCAGGCACACTCTTCTGCCTCACTAAACCCCCAAATACACCATGCACCAAAACAGTTTTGATTTGTCACTCTCTGAGCTCAGATGTGAGTAAAGGATGGTAATTACAGGCTTTTAAAAGGGTTGACCAGTGTTCTGCAGCCCACATGGATTTTTGAATCCAGGTTCAGGCAGACCCATGCACATTCACAAGGGTTGCTCTCAGTGGTGGAAGTACATTTACTCTAGTACTGTACTTTTTGTTTACAGTCACAAATTTTGTTAGAGTTACTTGCTACTTTTCAACTTAGGTTTTTACCAAAAAAAAAAAATACATGATGAGTAATGCAATATATTGTTAAAGATTAAATCATAGCTCCCAACCTTTTTGACTTCTGACTCCTTACACAAAGCAGTGTCATGTTGGTGACTCAATACTTTTCAGATTAGGTTTTTACCTAAAAAACACACATTCTGATCTTGTGAAATGCAATGCATTGTTAAAGATTAAACCGTAGCTCCCAACCTTTTTGACTACTGACTCCTTACACAAAGCAGTGTCTTATTGGTGACCCATGTCATGTTTCAGATGTGTTCAGATGTGTTTTATCAACTTCATTCTTAAATGGTTTTATTTAAATAGCAGTCTGAGTCTCAAAGAGGTAAAATTATCCAATATTTCACCAAAAGATGAAGGTACTGCCAACTGGAGGGGGCCAGACCCTTACTACATACACCACAGCTAACTAATACATTAAAATGCTGATTACAAACTTATGCATCAGAATTAATCATCTAATAATGTCATATATAATAATATATTAATCAGATGAGAATTTACTCAAATACTTAAGTAGGAGTTAAATACTGGTCCTTTACTTGTAATATAGCCTTTTACATTGTTGTATTGGTACTTGTACTTAAGTAAATGATCTTAAGACGTCTTACATCACTGTTTACTCAGTGAGAAACACAGGACATGTGATTCACAGATTAGACAATGTTGTTACACAATTTCTGACCCAGGTGTCATGCCTGCATCTTGTGGAAACATCTTGACATGCGGGATATCATGGGACATCAGGTTTGAAAAAGGGGTTCTGTCAAAGGGGTGTGATTGTTAAATGTTTCCAGTTTGCATTAAGCCATGCAGTATTGTTTGCAAACTGTTATCAACCTGGAAGATCTGGAGTCTTCCTCCACAGGGTAGGATGCCAAAAAGTATCTGATTACCAGGCCTGATTGACCCTGATCATAGTTTTAAGGTTGTTAAAATCATTCTGTTTCACACTGTCTGACAGTATGGTATATACTATATCAGCTTGCACATACTGTTTATTGAAGCTATATAATCTTACACTGGGTGAAATATTCTTAACCAGGATGTTTTCTATGGTTGCGCTATTTCATAATATAGAAATATTACAGGTGTCTTGTATATGAATCAATTGACGCACATTGTCCCAAATTTGACTCGCTCACTCACAAATCGTCTAACACTTATCTTGTGCATCCTGTGTTGCCCTGGTGAAGTGAATTAATTTAAATTTGGTTGCGCAGCAGAGTTTGTTCACTAGTCAGTTTTCTGGTTT